ATGCAAAAGGTCTGTGTACTACAGTAACAGTTTAACATTAAAATAATGTCTCTAAAATTATACTCTGTAAAAAATGCTGGGTTCTACACTATTCATGTTGTCTCAACACAAATCGATTAAGTTAACTGAATTGTTTTTCACAAAATTACGAGGATTGAACATAAAACAATTAAGTTATCCTAAAAAAACATAGAATTGTGTTGATTCAGCTTATTATATACATATATATATATATATATATATATATATATATATATATATATATATATACACACACACACACACACACACACACACACACACACACACACACACATATATATAAGTAGTTCGAACAAGCAGAAAAAAAAAAATTAAATAAAAAAGTATCAGTGGTAGAGTAAAAGAGTTTTGGCTACCAGGTCTTAGAGTTGTTTCCCCCAAAAAAAAAAAAAAAAAAAAAAAAAAAATCTGGCATCTGTATCCGATTCAATTCTATTTTTTTTTTAAACAAACCATAGTTATGCTCAATAGTTTTGCTTAACTGTGAAAACTGAAAGTCATTTCTACTTCACTGTTACCACAAGCAACCACCATTGTTTAGAGCTGAGAAGAAGAAATACTAATGTGCTAGGAGTACATCTGCTGTTTGGGACAGTGAACTAATAGTTCACCGAATGCAATTTTTCATATTTCATTAGTTTGAGTGAGCAAAATATCTACTGTAAAAATACAAAGTTGACTCAACTTAAAATTGTAAGGCAACATGCTGAACAGCTTTTTTCAGTTGACTCAACTTTTAACCCAGACTCTAAAAATGCCTTTCTTACATGTTTCTAGTCAAATAAAAAAAAAAAACCTAAATCAATAAGCATTTTTTCTAAACAACAAAAACATATTGTCTTCTTTTAAGAAATAATTTGTAAAAAAAAATACAACTTTTACTTAACCTTTTAATAGCCCCACCAAGAAAAAAAAAACTGGATGGCATTTCTTAACTCCTATTGTCGCTAGTTAACACACTTTTTTTTTCAACACACACCATAAATTCTAAAAATATCAACCTCTACCAAATGGTTGATATGTCAGTTTATGGTAAAAGTACTGGATTCAATACATATACTATGAAAAAAAAAAAACAGAAAATATGAAGTGTAAGACTTTAAAGAATTTATTTTTTTAAATATATATATATATATAAAAACAGTTTTTGAATGCTAAATCATCTTTATTCTATGAATTATGCTATGAAATATTTCAGATTCTCATTTAACATGTTTTCTTGTTTATCTTTTTTACAATAAAGCCACAATGAAGTGTAGGAGTGCAACGTGATTATGTTTGTTTGATTTTTTTTTTTTTTTTTTTGAAAACCAACAATGCTGTGTAAACCATTTTTTTTAAAGCTGTCATTCTTCAAATTAATTTAACAGTCATTATTTAAAACTGTAAAAATATGGTCAAACATTTGGTAGAGCAGACAGTTAAAAGAGCAAAATAATATGTCAATGGAGATGGCAAATAAATAATATTATGTCAAAAGGAAAAAGAAGATTGTTTTGCCTACCCCATTGGCATATTTGTTTTTGCTTGTTTTGAGGAAAAACTCCCTTAGTTTTGGAATATTATTTCTTAAAAAAATATAGTATTTTTGTTTGTCTAGAAAATGCTTCTTGGTTTAGGAATGGTTTGATATTTAGACTACAAAAATACAACAAATCTAAGTTAGGGAAGTATTTTTTGCTGTGCAAGTGCTGTAGTTGACTCGCTTTAAGTTGAGTCAGCTTAAAAATGCTATTCGTTCATTTAGTTTTTTAACAGTATTTTCATAAAAAATGTATAAGTCATGAAAGAAAAATGTGGTTAATCAAGTATGCACCATAGATTTAGTCACAAATTTAGAAATTTCAGTACTGACAAATTTTGTTTACATTTTTGATGTTGTGTTGTGTAACATAGTTGGAATAGGGTATATGCCGATTAATGCTAAAGGGCTTTGAATTTGTCCGTAACCTGGGTTATGCGCTTCTGGTGAACTGTATGCAAAATTGGTTCATTTAAATCTGTTTTCTTTAAAAACCACCGATCTCCACTGGCTGAGTGATATCCGATTTTAAGTGGGTCTCAACTTGTACAAGAAGCACTGCATTAAATTACATTTTTTCCCGCCATGTCTTTAAAATCTGAACATTTATTTTACCCCAGTATATTCAACGGAGCTTCTGTGCTAGCCTGCCGATTCTGATGGGCCTGTGCAAGTAAACAGCTTTTTGTCTCTTTCATGCTTGAGCAACTAAATGAATGCCAAAGTATATTTAACTGTTTGTATTGTAATTACATTACAACATCGATGCTGTAAAAGGAGCCATATAAAATGGGAAAAGTTACATTAACTGTTTACCGGAAGTTTATTAGTATGGGAAGAAGCACTAGCTCTGCATAGACGCAATTGTATATATTACACTAGAAATATTCAAGAAGTATGAAAACAGCTCTTCAAGACTGTCCCTCTATGTATTTCATTACACATAAGTTGTCAGCTCATCTGAGAGTCTGTGTGCTTGCTTATGTGTGAAATCTTCTGTAGTTGTCTCGTTGTTGTATATAAAGCCAGAACTGACAGTAAAAAACATCTAATTGCTACTTCAATAGTAAATAAAGCATGCAAAACGTTAGTGAAAGTAAATGACTGTCAGCATGTGGTCTGTCATCATTCTCCTGCCGGTTGTCTTACCATTTCTGACACATTTCATTTCCTTTTGTCCAATGCAGTCAGCTCTTTACTAGCTAGGCAGGATGGGAAGCACGCGCTTGTGTGTGTGCGATTCAATGTTGATACATTGCATGTCAAGATATTGCCTGAGGTTGAGTGTGTAGGCATTGTGGAATAGCTGTAGATTTCCCACTAGAACAGAAATAATGGAGGTGTATGTGTGTGTGTTGTGTATAAATCATGGTTTGTCAGAGTGCATGTAAATATTTATATAAATATGCCAATAAATCTGAGAAAATATATGTGTCTATATTTGTGTGTGTGAGAGTTGGATGAGTTACTGTATAGGGGAGATGCTATGCCTGGTTGGGTAGTTAGTTACAGTAGGCATAACAATACTCCCAATGTCGATATTTGAGGATTTGTATAAAGGAATGAAATAATTCTTTATATATAAAATATGAAAATTTATATAATAAAACTATGGTGTTATTGTTTTGTTTGGCTTAAGGACAGTTAAAAGGCCATGAACCCCCCACCCCTGTTATTTGAAAAAAGTCAGTAAAGTGGGTGTGTCCAGCTTTGTTTAGGTGGGAGTGTCGAGTTGCAAAAGAGGGAAGGGTTTGCATGAAAAGGGGAGTTTCATTACATGCACTACAGCTGATTTTAACACCGGCGAATACAAACACAGATGCAGGGGAGATGAACAGCGATTCAGAGAGCAGCATTTACAGCAGATCTGAGAGCTGTGTGAAAATGGAGGATTTTTAGTCCATGATATTGTAGTGATTTTACTGTAAACTTAGTAACTAAAGCATGTCGACTAAGGTACTGTCTTCAAAAACTAAAAGAGTACTGCTGACATTACTAACCAACTTTGCCATCTGAATAAACATAAACAAAAAACACTCTTCACACACTTACCTAATCTATAGAGACAGACAATCAACACCAACTGGAGCCACGTCTTTTTTTAAAAGAAGACGAGTGGCAAAATCAGATTTCAACAGATTCAAAAAGCTCTTGGGTGAAAAATGTTCCTTACAAACATGTTTTGATCAAGTTTGCAGACCACCATAATCCAACTGCTTGGGTCCACACGAAAGTTGTGTAATAATTCTGACTTTAACTGTATATGACTGTCAACATCTCAAAAAATGTGTCATTCATTCAATCATTTTCTTTTGGGCTTAGTCCCTTTATTAATCTGTGGTCGCCACAGTGGAGAGAATCGCCAAATTATCCAGCACATGTTTGATGCCCTTCCAGCTGCAACCCATCTCTGGGATACAACCATACATACTCATTCACACTCATACACTACGGACAATTTAGCTTACCCAATTCACCTGTACTTCATCTTTAGACTGTGGGGGAAACAAGAGCACCCCGAGGAAACCCATGAAACGTAGAGAGAACATTCTAACTCCACACAGAAACGGCAAATTGACCCAGCCGAGGCTCGAACCGGCAACCTTCTTGCTGTGAGGTAACAGCACTACCTACTGCATCGCTCCAAAAAATGTGTTTTGAGTGTAAAAATTTATATTAATTTGCCGTCTTCCCTTCAATATTAAATAACAGTATCTGCTGGCACATTCTGACCACAGGAGGTATATGCAGTTTGACAGGAAATGACATCATGTTGTGCTGTGTGGGAGTGGTGGTTAGGACACCCTTGCTGTTTTAATGAGCATTAGTAATGAGTTCATGATGGGTAATTATATTATGTGGCTTTTGGTTTGGGAGCATTTCTAAATAATATGACAGGAGAATGAGGTGAACCTCATTTAAATGTTCAAATTAATATCCTATACCACAACACAAACATATTGCTGTAAAATATCAAGCCCCAAAAGGTTTATTTACCTCAGTTGTGGGATAATTAAATCCATTCATCATTTTGCTAGTATTATTACTGAGCCCAATGTGATATAAAAGCTCAAGTGAGATTTTGAAGAAAAATGGCTAAAATGAAGCAGGGCAGAGAGAAAGTTGAAGATGTTTCATGGTCTGTCACTAAAGTGGCATGATTTAGTGGAAATACATCACATAGAGCTCCCATTACACCCCACAACAAAAGTTCTTAAACAGATTTTCTGTGGAGCGCTTAAGCACATATACAAACACACACAACAGCCCACAAGCAAACACTTGCTCAAACACAGAACAAAACCAAACTTTGATGATAATATTGTTGGTTCATCTGTGTATATGTTTGTCAGTCTTTTAAACGTGAACAAACCAAACACTGAAAATGTTATTCTGTGGTTATTCACACTCTGCTCTCTTTGTGTTTGTGTTTTAGTTGTTTGCCATTTGCCCTGCATGAATGGTGGAAAATGCAGCGCTCGGGATAAGTGCCAGTGCCCGCCAAACTTTACTGGAAAATTCTGCCAAATGGCGAGTCCAAATGGTCACCAGGGGCAGCATACTGTTGTAAATGGGCAGAAGACACATGTCCACTCAACACACACGTTACCCCTCACTTATGGCACTGGACAAAACCAAGGTAAAGGATTGGATTTTATTTAACTAATGTTTAATTCTGGCTTGTGTTAGAAATACATGACTCTACATTAACACACACACACACACACACACACACACACACACACACACACACACACACAAGCACACACAAAATCACTAACTGTATCTACACTGTAAAACAGAGAACAGTGAAAGTCATTAAATAAAATAAGATAGTTTAACTTATATATTTTTAAAAGTTATTTTGACTCAGTGAAAAAGAGGTATGGTATCTCATAAACTGATTATATTAAGCAGAACTCTAATCGCATGAGTTATAAATGGATTTAACTTTAATGCTTGAAGCAATGCCAAACCATATGTGTAGCTATATTGTTATTTTGACCTAATTAATTTAAGTTAACATAACTTATCGGGTTTTACAGTGTATAGTTTTATTAAAAAAACAAACAAAAAAATGTATGTGATTTTATTTCTTTTTCAGATGAAGAGAAATTAAGTTCTGAGTTAAGTTTCTTGTTATTTTAAATATTTTATTATTACTCCCATTATTATTTGGGCAGCTTCAAAGTAACCCACACAAGAGCTGAGAAATAAAGCTTTTTTTATTGGAGGGGGGGGGGGGGGGGGGGGGGGGGGGTTTACAATATATAAACAGTGCATCTGGAAAGTATTCATAGCGCTTCACTTTATCCACATTTTTTATGTTGCAGCCTTATACCAAAATGCATTAAATCCATTTATTCGTTCATTCATTTTCTTGTCGGCTTAGTCGTTTTATTAATCTGGGGTCCCAAAGCGAAATGAACAGCCAACTTATCCTCCACATTTTTATGCAGCGGATGCCCTTCCAGCTGCAACCCATCTCTGGGAAAATTAAATCCATTTATTCCTCAAAATTCTAAACACAATACCCCATAATGACAATGTGAAAAAAGATTTTTTGAAATTTATTAAAAATGAAAGACCTGAAAAATCACATGTACACAAGTATTCACAGCCTTTGCTCAATACTTTGTTGATGCACGTTGCACAGCAATTATAGCCAACAATTACAATTGAATATGATGCCACAAGCTTGTCACCATGGGATTTTTTCCCCATTCCTCTTTGCAGTACCTCTCAAGCTCTATTAGGTTGAATGGAAAGGCTGACGGCCATTTTCAGATCTCTCCAGAGATGTTCAATAGGATTTAGGTCTGGGCTCTGGCTGGGCCACTCATGGACATTTACAGAATTGTTGTAAAGCCAAAGCAAAATGAATGTTTTTTGCTAAGAAATGAAGGTTGAAAATGCACTGTTAAAAATTGTCCCGTTAAAAAACAGTAAAATACTGGCAGCTGCAGTTGCCAGCAATGTACTGTTATTTTACAGTATGTTGCTGTAAAAATACATGGACTACATTGATTTACACAATACTCAAGTGAACTCATTTTGCTCACTGAAAGCAACTGCCTCAACTTGGTCAACTGCTGAATGAGTTTATGAAGTAATGTGCTATATATGCTTAGAAGCATACTTATAATGATAACTTATTTTAGTTAATTAGAAAAGTTCGGTTTAACTCTAATGTCTTATTTTTCACAACAGCACACATACATGTAAATCTGGAATCACCAGAGAGATTCTGACTGCATCAGCCACTAAACAGCCGCTATCTTTAAATAGAGAAACATACAGAATAACATCAGCAGTTCATTGTTCATCTTTAACTCATACACTAGCTCTACTGTCCTCCACAACGGTGACAGACAGAGGAAATTAGCTTCAGGTTTTACAGTAAAATACTGTTTTTTCCTTGATTTAACAGTAATCTACTGGCAGCTGTGGTTGCCAGCAATATACTGTTTTTTTACAGTCTACTTCCGTTGTGTAAATTAACAGTATATTACTGTTAAAATACATTTTTACACTGCGTTTTTACCTCTCACACCTTTAACCCTTTAAACCCCAGAGCCTATACTTCAGTTTTAATTGAAGTGTCCACACTACTGAGTGTTCAAGAAACATGGAGCAAAGCTGAAGTAAATTCATTAATTAACTGACTAATTAAATGATAATTGAGGATTAACAATGAACAAATGAAGAAATAGTGAAGGGAAAAAACAAGAACAGAACATACAAAACTTTAGTCACAGCTTTATAATGAAATAACCTGAAGAACAACAAATGATTAAATCATTTAAATGATCAGCAGATGATTAAACAACTCTACAAACATCATCACCAGCTACGCTTATTACTTAATACATGTATTTTTGTATAACATCTACTAAAGTTCTTCTTGAGAAAAAGTTAAAGTTTTACGTCACCATCATGGAGAACAGAGTTTGCTTTAGTTGGGCTCTCAGCCCTGTCATTTTTAACATTTATTTATCTTGGCTGCTGCAATTGTTAAGAACTTTGTTTAAAAAGCTCCTTTGTTGAGGCAAGCCAGCCAAAAACCTAAATAAGATCTGGTGATGTTCATATTGCTATTAAATGGCAGAGTCTGTTCTCATTTAGTATTATAAAATGTACTGCTCCTATTCAATGTTAAATCTATTGTTTTACATTATATGTATATATATTGCAATGATTTCTGGAAGTTTTTAAGAATATCTTGGACAATAACACTGCTCTATGGTGTAAATCGCACTCAAAGAGACATCAATAATCAGAATATGAACCTCAATAATGGTGACAACAAATTTAACAAAATTAACAGTTTAACTCACAAACAGGCAACTGAAAGTCTAAACATAAACAACAGCAGAATCAAACACAAATAAAGAAAACCGTTAGACCATTATACAACATTTATTTATACCGCAATGCATGCTGGGATATTTGTACAGTGCCACTCCCAGCATGCATTGCAGCATGAAACATTTGAGATGTTACCATTGTTGAGATACAAGGTCAGATTCATGAGGTCTGGGTGTGTATTTGTCATAACTGAACTGTTTTTGTATGTTATTTCTTAACTGTTAAGTAATTTCAGAGGTATCTTTTCTGTTTCCACTTCTCATTAATTAAATTAATACCTGCAACTAAGCATAAAATCTATTGCATGAGGCCCTTCATCCAGATTTATACCAAAACATTTATCAGAACTAATTTCAGATAAATAGATTTCTTCATTTATTGACTTCCCAACTTTATTGCTATAGTACAAACGTTTTGTAAACTCTGTATTACAGCAGTTGGAAAGTCTTCTTAAATGAGTTCAAGGGTGAAGAACCCAACTAAATCAGCCCCTCACTCCATTACGGTGACACAAAAAACACCTTAATTTCTGTTGGATCTCAATGAGAATTGTATGGACGTCAAATCAGTCAGTAATAAGTGTGTCTGCTGTTGTTTGTGGGGTTGTTTAATGATCCTCTGCTGAGACTGAAGGTGTTTTATTTTATTTTATTTTATTTTATTTAATGTTGTAACTCAAGTCACTGTTTGTGTTTCTTGTTTATTTTCTTCAGTAATTGTAATTATTAACAGCAGGTGTTCATCAGTGTCTGAATTCACTCATTAGTGTTCATTAAAACTGTCAGGTGAACTATATTAGTTAACTAGTGTATGAAATAGTGAACAAGGACACAAAGCGTGATTTCAAACACAGACTTCAAAACATCGAATCTGAACTCTGTTAGCTCACAGTTTTCTGCAGTTGGTTACTTTCTCGAAAACAAAAATGATACCCAGAAAGCACTGTTTTTAACAGAATATTACTGTTTTAGTGAAAAAACATTATTTTATCGTAGAATCTGACCGTTTTTTAACAGCAATTTTTTACAGTGTAATGTATGGAGTGATGTCAAAAATGTGGAACAAAATTGGTCTTTTCTGTATATTTACTGTAGATTTGAGTAAAATGACTATACTTTTATTAAACAGCTTTACCTCTCAAATAATACACAGTTTATATCTGATAAATGAATGCAAGGGCTTTTATAAAATCATAAACTTGTGTTCTTTCTTTGCACATGGTTCACATTTGCCTTGATTTTTACCACTTGCAGTATGTTGTTTTGAACCTTTACTGTACTGAACCTTTACTGAACAGTCCTTAAAGCATAACTTTTCAACAGGTATGGTGAATGTCCATGTGAAACATCCTCCTGAAGCCTCGGTCCAGATTCATCAGGTGTCTCCAGTGGACAGTAATGGACAAGTGAAGAACACGCAGTCCAGCCATTCCTTCACCTACCACAGCAGCAGCCAGAGCATCCAGCATGGGCACACTCACAGTGGTGTCATTTACCCCAACCAGCAAACATACCTCCAATACCAGCCTGTCACATCCAAGAGCCAACTAGGACGCTGCTTCCAGGAGACTACCGGAATGCAGGTCAGAAGATTTTTATAAGTGTAACAGAGACCAGCTAGTAAGAGCAATGCGAGTAAACCGCACTCCCCCTCCTCAACAGGCGCACTAGCAAATGAAGCTTGATGCTGTCTTTAGGGTTCACACGGGTTATGGACTGTCTGGAAAATCGTTGAATGATAAAGGATTTTTGTCAGACATTGAAAATCAGGAAATTTTTATTTATTTTTGTCGTAGTAATGGAATGACAGGGATTTTTGTTTGTCACTTTAAAATTTTCAGTCACACTCTGCAATACGGTTTCAATAGTTAATGTATTTACTAACATGACCTAATTATAAAAAAGACTTTTATAGCATTTATTAATCTTATTTATTATTAATCATAGTAAACAAAGTTCAACATTTATAAATGCATTGATAACATCTATATTCATGCATTAATACATGCATATTAACTAAAACATTAGTTAATGCTTTGCGAGTTAACATGAACTAACAATGAATTACTTTATTTTTATTAACTATTGTTAACATACATAAAGAAGTACTGTAATAAATGTATTGTTCATTGTTTGTCTATGTTAGTAAATATATATATGACTTCACATTGACCACTTCAAGGACAGGGTGTTAAACAGTAAATGACAGAAAAGCTAAATGTAATATTTGAAAAAGTGCTATTGAGCCATCAAATATGGAAGAGGTAGCATTTTAAGCCACACTAACAGTGAGAACCTCTGCTTTTGTTTTTTTGTTTTTTTCCAAAATCTGAGGTAAATTATCCATTGTGGTCACTGTCGTTATTAAAGGCATTCAAAATAATATTCAAGCAAAAACCATTTAATATAGTTATTATTTTAACGTTTTACTTTTATACAGGACATAAGCACAACAGCAGAGTAAAGTCAATGAGTTTGATAATAGGTTTAAGGTTCAAACCTTGTTTCTTTAACAGACTTATTACCATGCCAAGGATGAGGAGGCTGATTTGATTCCTGTTCAGAGTAATGTGAGGACAAGCGATGATGTTACAATGAATCTATAGGTCAGATTGGACTGAGGGTTAGAGAAAAAGCGACAGAGGATAGCTATTAGTATGACTTGTTAGAGTGATCTTACTCCCCTGGCCTCAAAAGGCAAACTAGTGAAGATTGCTGGAGGATAGAAGCTGCAGGAGACCATCATTCTATGTGGTAGAAGTAGAACCATTGGAATCATATTGGCTTTGTAATTCAACCTGGATAGGAAAAATGTTTAGTGGGGTGAGGGATGGAGGACAGCTAGCTAAGGCATGTGAGCAAATATTACTTCCCTGTCCTCAAAATGTGCGATAGCAATTGATGCTAAAGGGATGGATGTGCATCCAGCATGTGCATTTAGATGGAACAGCGTTTACTAAACGGAGTTCACTGATAAGCTATGCAAATATCATTTTAAATTTGATAATCAGTCAGTAATTACAAGATAATTGCAATTACCACAGAAACTACCACACATAATAATGTAGTTTTATTCTAAAATCAAAACCTCATAACTTCAGTTTTGTGTTTGAAATAAACTCGTATGTGAAATGATTCTGTAGTCATGTGTATTAGGTACAGTAAACCAGTGGAAGCAGTTAAATCTTGGATTTATTGAGTTTCATTTTGTTTCTATGGGTATTTGGACTTTTTGTGACACTCTACCCTGACGAGATAAAGTATATGACAATCATAGCTTTGATCAATTACATTTTAAAATTTATTTCAACTTTTCGCCCTACTTTCAAATGCCACTTGGAGTGGTGGAAGTAAAATCAGAAGGTTTATATTGGTGCCGTGACCTGGATGGCAATGAGATTTAGAGGGGTGATTATAACTAAGATCAGCTGTCAGGAGTGCTTGGTTAACCTATGCATACTAGCAACTGGTGCTAGAGGCTATGATTTTTATTGTTCCTTTTAATACATCCGCCTCCCATGCTGAAGACATCTGTTCAAATCCCTGTCAAGAAAGTGTGAGTAGAAGAGGGTGGGCTAGATGAGAAATGCTTATAAGTCAATTTAAAGGATTGATTATATAATAAAACTTTGCCTCATTTTCAAACTACAACAAAATTCGCTCATTTACTCATCTGCATCTGTTTCTCCATCTGTTTTCTGTTTTGTCTTTAATATTTATATTTTTTGTTTCATTAAAATGTATATATCCCATGTAATTTGGTCCAAAAATTAAGTCAATGGGCTTTAGTGTTATTGACTTTTACTTCTGTAACAAAACATTCTTTAAAAATATATCTTCTCTGTCTCTGTTGCTCTCACCACTGCTGTGAGTTTTTTACTATTTCTCTCTGTCTCTTGCTTTTAAAGTCTTTTAAACTAACTCAATTCCAGCTATCATTAGATGATCAAGAAGTAGAGCAAAAGACCAAATAAATAGTGAGATGAGACTCTCTCCAGAACATTGTGAGACTCTAGGGAACGTCTGTCTCTTGAATAGAGAACCGCAGATTAAATGGAACAGAATAATTCTCAAAAAAGTTTTGACTTAGTATCTGCCTCCAGCTTAAAAGAACATGCAATTGAATTCCACTACTATAGCTGATAGTCTATCAAGTTATTATCATCAAGTGCACCTCAGTCTTGTTTGTTTACTCTCTCTCTCTCTCTCTCTGTCTCATTGTAAAGTGCTGTGCCTATTTGTGCAACCATTTACACTTAATTTGTGACTTTGTCTTTTCATGTCAGCAGAGAGGAGAGTGTTATCAGGTTGTTTGAGTTGTGTCTCTTAGATTGTTGTTCAGTTCGGGCCTGGTTCAGCTGATTAGATTCAGTCCGGGGAGAGATATCAAGAGTGTTGATCAGAAAGAACTGGGATCAAGAGCTGTGTGTGAGCAGAATTATATATGTGTGGCTTGAATGGGCGAGATGAGTATCTCTGTCTCTTTCTTCATTTTATTCATTAACTTCCTGCATTTCATTTGATTGTGTTTTATTTTGCAGTGTGGGAAAGCTCTGCCTGGACTATCTAAACAGGATGCCTGTTGTGGGACGGTGGGCACATCATGGGGATTCCACAAATGCCAAAAATGCCCCAAGAAACCATGTAAGCTGCTGTTGATGCACTCTCATGAACAAAATCTCCTGTCTCACTGTCACATGCAAAGACATCTGTCTCACTTAAGCGAACCATCACTGGTCTCACAATCAAAAACAACAATAGTGAAAAGAGAGCTGAAAAATTGTACTAAAGTAAAAGTATGAATACTTGCCAAAAAATTGTCGTACAAGTAGAGTAGAAGTATTTGTTCTAAATAATACTCAAAGGTTTAAGTAAATATTAGCCTTTTTTAAAAGTGCACAAGAGTAATCAGAATTACACTGTGAAAATCATTCCATCTTATACCTTGAACATTAAAAAGGCTCCCACTTTATATTAAGTGATCTTAAATGTACTTACACTGAAATTAAAAATGTGCTTATTGTGTAAATATATGCTTTTACATTCAACTCATACTTGATAAAACACCCGTAGATACAGTACATCTGTAATTAACTGCTGTTATCACATTTGTTATTACGTCATTGAACATCCTTTACACCTTAACCCACACTAAAACCAACCCATACCACCAAAAGTGTTCCTAATGTTACCCATACCCCACCTCAGTAGCACCATCGAAGTTCTGCAACATATTAGGAACACATTAAGTAAATTATATTTATGTTTTGATGCAAGTACATGATAAGTAAGTACACTTGATATCAAGTGGGACAGTGCTGTTTTCTTTTAAGGGTGTTTCTAATTGTAAGTCAAAGGACACCTATGAAGAAAGTCATCATTTGGAAGCTGTTTGGACAGAACTGTGTGTAGGTATAGTGCGCCCACACTCATTTTGGGGTGATATAAAGACAATAAGTCTCTTTTAACTTTCCTGACGTTAAAATAGAATCCAAATCCCTCCCATTTTGAGGCCCACCACAACGTGACGTACGAGTGAGGTTTCTCCGCCCACCAGTTTGATTGACAGCTGTGTATAAACATGTCTCTGTAGTATTGCATATAATCATATCAACAAGACGGGGCATTTGCAAAGCAACTAGGATTAAACGATCTGTGATCATGAATCATTAAATGTGATTAAGAATCAGTTTTGTGCATGAACGTAATGACATTGTGACTCATTGCTGCAGAAAGGCTTGAATTAACAACAAAAGAATCAAATAATCATTAGGAAAGTTCTTCCTGTAGTATTTCCTACAAATGATACATGAGATCTGCTTCCTTTATGTCTGTCACTGTGCTATTTATCTGTCACAGCCAAGGCGGAGATTGAGGCACAGTCCGATAGGCGTGTGGAAATGGTTGGCAGGGAGAACTAGCATTAAAGGCACAGGCCACAAAAACAGCTACATTGTGTTCAGAGCAGTAAATTCCAATATTCTGAAAGGTATAATAAATAATCTGATGGTTGTTTTGAGTTTAAACTTTACAGACACATTCTGGAGACCCAAAAGGCTCATCTTAAATCTTTAAAAAAAGGGTTAAAATAGGTGCCCTTAAAATGTGTTTGCTTAAAAACTTCAAAAGTTAATATATTTACATGCAGAGCAAAAACAATCCAGCTTAGGTTAAGCACTTACAACCCTGATTAACAAGCTACGAGTGTCACTAACAAGCTATGAGTTCCAAAAGCAAAAACCCTCATTCTCAGACAAACATCGTGCTCACTTTCAAATTACAAACTTATGTTTCTTTTTTACATAGAAAAACATCTGCCTTGCTTCTTCAAAAAACAAATCTATCTCAATGTCACACAGGGCCTGTTTACACCTGGGCACCGTAATGACTTCTTTTACATTTGGCAACATGAATGTGTCTCCCCTAAATGGATATAAAGCTGATCTTCAAACGCACTACAGGATATGAAAATTTAACTACTTCTGGGTTACGTTGAGTAAAGCGTTAGATACATGCATTTATTTATTTTATTCTTATTATTACTTAAGCTGTATATCTTATCTGGCATACAAATAAGTTCATATGTAGGCTAGGACAGACTCCTCAATTACTGACATTACATGCTAAATGACACATCTATTTCATGCATGGCATCATTGAAAACTTAAAGGGTTTTTGGGAATAAATTTCGATCTGGGGATCAATCTTAATGCTGCCCTTTGATATTAATTTAACATTCTAATGTTATCATTTTCATGGTCAATAATAAAATGAAAAAAGTAAATGAAATGAATCCTGTCACTTAATGCATTTGCAATGTTTTATCTGATGGGCATATAACCCATGAAAAGGGCTCTCTCACATGTTTATTTTTTCAGATCCGTAAGAAGAACATTTTTCATATTTTGGTTTAACAGCCAGAGGCATTTAGACCTGTCCAGTTTTGTCTGGAATGTGCCCCGGACCACCTCCTGAAGTAGTTAAAGCCATCAGATATACAGTATATACGGTTGAATTCTGAATTATTAACCCCCCTGAATTACTGTATAAGCCTATGTACATTATAGGCAGTTTAGGGTAATTAGGCAAATCGTTGTATATCGATGGTTCGTTCTGTAGACTATCGGGAATAAAAAATAGCTGAAAGGGGCTAATAATTTTGACCTTAAAATTCTATTCTATTCTAAAATTAAAATTCTAGCCAAAATAAAACAAACAGGACTTTCACCAAAAGAAAAAAATATTATCAGACATACTGTGAAAATGACCTTGCTCTGTCACAGATAAAAAAAAATAAATAAATAAATAAAAAAAAAAATTCTAATAATTCTGACTTCAACTGTATATCAATCTCTAATGCATTTCAGAGGGAATTTACACCTGCTCATTTAACGATGTGAAAAAAAAACAGGTGACCAGATATAAACATACCTGCACAATATATAGCTTGCTTATGCAAATAAAATACCTGTCTCACTCACACAAAGACAAACATCTTATTTTTGTAAAACTAAAACATCCTCACCCTCATGAAAAAATGTCAGATTTGCTTTCTTCAACAAAGAACTTTGCTCACTCACACATTGAGGAAGATCTACATCACAAACACCCGTCTCACCCTAATACATGCTTAGTTTTCATAAATGTGTCGTATACCCAAACAACCTAAAAAAAATGCTTTAAGAAACTAGTTCGACAAATTTCTTTGGTTAAGTTGTATTCTTGACACTGCTTTAATCGATATGGACAAAAGCTCAACCAGAAGTTACTTTCAGAGTCAAACATCTGCCTTTCTTTCACAAACAAAAATATGTCTCAACTTCACCTGGAATACCTCTCACCATCACATTCCAAACCATCTGTCTCACTCTCAAAGACATTCATCTACTTCACTTTTTAGAAACAAAGACACCTGTCTCTCCTTCATGTAGGCAATCATATGCCTCATTTTAATGAGCACAAACACCTGTATCACCCTCACAGCCATTCATTTCTCTCTCTTTCTCTCTCTCTCTCTCTCTCTCTCTCTCTCTCTTTCTCATTTTAACTTCTGTTTTGTGGCTGTGACTCAACGGACACATGGTCCTAATATTGAGAATGAGAGGGAAGGGATGCATTCCACAGAGAAAAGGCAAGTGCGTAATGAGTGGGCAAAGGAAAGAGAAAGCTGTTAGGTATCTGGTTACGCACACTCTGTGTTGAACTTACTGACATGCTGACTCACCTGGCACACACTCCACTCTTTAGTAATGGTGCATATACACATTTACTCATGATTCCTCCATGCTTAGTCACTTCGCTGAAGTCAATCCCTACGGAAAACTGTTAACAGACCACTCCAATTCTCTCTCTCGCTCTTGCTCGCTTTCATTTCAGAGAATGTCTGTAGATGTTTTTGAAATTCTCTTTCCATATATGGGCACCCCTGCATTCTGTGCATTCCCAGACATATGGCTGATTTAAACCGTATGGACGTCACCAATAACAAACCTTCATGAGTCTCTGAAATTTGTAAGCTTTGTTTTAATCTTTAAATGGCAATAAAAATGTTGTTCTTTTACAAAGAAAAGTGTGCTTTGTTCACCTCACACATTAAAATAATATATATTTAACTCTACTGTAGGGGTGACCTGTGCACCATTTTAGCAAAATACAAAAAATATATATATAAATACGCAGTTGTTGTGCTACCTGTTTCTTGAAAATGATTGACTGAAAGCTGTGCCATGTTCCCGTAATAACAGGACTCCTACAGCCTCCTCACCCATGTGTATTACTCCGCCCACAGAAAGTGACAGCAGATCAATAAACTCACTACAATTTGTCAAATATTGCAACTGTTGGACTACATAATGCACTTTTGAGGCTTTTTTAGACGAGAACGTAGTTGTGCCTATTTTAAATATTTATCATTTCTAAGATAAAGTGTGTCAGCATCCATCTGCCTGTCATTGAGCAGAGCAAAGATGGTTGACATCGTCCATCCACAAGATGGCAACAGAGACCGCATAATAAGCCTTTAGAGGAGAAAAGGCATATTTTCTAACTACAGCTCATCAAACCATTATAAAATTAGTAAGTGACATTCTAAGTCGATCTCTCTCTTTTGTATGTTGTTGTGCTGTATTTATATCATAGTAATTGTGGTGTAATGAGTGTGAGATAGGACTCGCATATCATCAGGAATTTATGTATTTTGTGTTGTCCGCTCTTTGTGTAACCCTGAGTGTTTTTTCTTATCACAAACACAACAGTAATCTGGTAGTGATTGCATTGCTTTGGCTTTTTCGGGGTTAATTATTGTGATATCGTGACGTTGGTGAATTACTAATGGTTTCTGAAGACAGTAGTTCCTCATACAAAAGGATGTTTAGACTCTCCGTGTTGGATTTTCTTTTTTATACTTGATTATGCTGTTGAACTTTTGTAGCAGTGCGATATGGCTGTATATTGTCACTGGTGGGCCACTAAGGCACACGTCCAGCGCACGTCTCCCACCAGTGCCGATATACAGCCATAACGCACTGCTACTCATGACATTTTTCTCATATATATACACACAACCAAACAACTTGACAACTTTTACTAAATCATTAGAAAAATACTAAGAATTTTTATATTACACTGAAGGTTGTACAAATATAGGGTACAACAATTGTCTTAGGGTTTAATTTTTACCCGCCAGATTTAAAATTCTTTTTTCACCACATAACTACAGGCACACTCCAACAAACACCCAAACACACACAATAATAACCTGCTGATTTACCTTTTAGGAATACTGTCAAGCAAAAAAAAAAAACATTTTACACCTATACTTTTAGCAGAATAAAACATAAACCTTTACATTTGTAATAAACTAGTGCTGCCCACTGATAAATATTGATGAAATACTCTACACGGATGTGGGAAAACCTTGACATTTCAGCTGATTCTAATGTTACCACACAATTGAATAGCCATTATCAGTGGTTATCAACTTATAGATATGGGCCAGTAGGGGCCTTCTGCACCTACTGGTAGGCTCAGAAGGCTGTTATCATCCATCCACATGGTAAATAAGCTATATATCACATACTTGCGGCCGTAAGTTAAAGAGAATTATTTATTTTATTTAATACCTTTTCAATTAATTGTATTTCATTAATAGCTAGGCCCACCAAAATTCTAAACCCAACCGTCACAGTAATGTAAAAACAAATCTGGATCTGTAGTCTTCTCTATTATTATGGCTGATTAACCATGCGGATGGATGATAACAGCCTTCTGAGATAAGTCCCCTACTGGCCCATATCTATCAGCTGATAACCACTGAAAATGCCCATTCAACCGAGTGATAACAATCGAAGCGGGTGGACGTTTACAGTTTGTGATGAGCAATGCCATTTATAGATAAACATTTTAAGGATTAAAATTAAATGTTGCTGCTTTATATTAAAGGTTTAGGGAAGATGGGTTATTTTTTTAAATAAATATAATTCTAAGACCGCACAAGGGTTAAGTCTTCGTTTATTTCATTTTGAGGTTTTACGATTCAGTGTGGCATTGAGAGGTGTGAAGTTGTGGTATTACCGCCGTCTCTGAGCTCTGCTTGCAGCAGCTGTAGGCCAGCACTTCCCAGGACATCAGCTGGTAATGAACGGAAATAGAAGTGCAGGGCAGTAACTGAACACAAGTGTTGGGGTAATGAAGACGTAAACAAGTCTGGAGTTCAGCCCCTTTTATTTCTGAAGCAGGCTCAAAATATGACCTCTGGAAGTGCCAATGCCTTTCTGCTCTCTTCCAAATGAGTCAGTCTGTCTCTCTCTTGCTCTCTTTCTTCTATTTATGTAATTTATTACAGTCATTACCCATGAGAATGAGAGGGAAGTAAACCCTGTTCCCGTTACACGTTCCCAGTCGCAAGGCCTCCCTGAGACAATCCTTGAAACAGTCACTACAGAGCTATGTGCAGTGTTTTTGTGTGCTTTTTTTAATCTGATGATTATGAGCTCAGAGACAATGGTGTGTTTAAATAGTTGCTGTTTATAGTGATTAACGATCTGTAGATGTGTTTGTGTTTTAGTGCAGAACAAGAAAGAGCACTATTCACGCTGAATCCTGGGAGTTCTTGCACAACATGTGATCAGATATATTAAAAGGTTCACATTTGTTCCCCATTTTATCTCTGGCGTGAATTGATTAAGGCTTTTGCTTAATTGTAGGCTTTGTTATTGTCACTACAATATAAGTAAAATAACTACAGTGTAATTTCAGTAAAATAACTAATTTATTATCACTGCCTCGGGGCCAAAATTACATACACTTCTTGAAATTTCTCGAAGTTTGAGATCATAATTTTTTTTTATTGAGCTTTAAAAAATAACAGTGCTTATTTAATTTAAGAATATTTCACAAACACTGTATAATATAATATTAATAAATAAGTAAGTAATGTGTTTTTATATAGCACTTTTATTATGTATGACCATACACACAAAGCGCTTCACAATCATGAGAGGGGGTGCCCCCACTCCATCACCAGTGTGCAGCATCCACTTGGATGATGCGACCACAGCCACAGGACAACAATGCCTGTGCGCTCACCACACTCCAGCTATAGGTGGAGTGGAAAGACAGTGATAGAGCCAATTCAGTGGATGGGGATGATTAGGAGACCACAATAGATAAGGGCCAATGGAGGGAACTTGGCCAGGACACTAGGGTTTCACCCCTGCTCTTTACAAGAAGTGCCATGGCATTTTTAATGACCATTAAAGAGAGTCAGGACCTCAGTTTAACGTCTCATTCGAAAGAAGATGCTCACTGACAGTATAGCGTCCCCTTCAGTTTAATGGGGCAATAGAACTCACACAGACCACATGTTGAGCTGTCCTACTGTCCTCACTAACTCCACTTCCACTTCATTAATAATTAGTAATAATACTAAATATACTAATAAAATAATAATAAATATTATTAGAAAACAATGATAAGTCTTTATGAATACATGTACAATGTCAAACTTTATGTAGAAAAAATGATTCGCTAATTTGCTTAAAAATTAGTTAACCTGTTGTAACTTTAATTTACTTAATAAATGAATAATATATGCATATATTTAATAATAATAACTAGTAATAATAAAAAAGCAAGGGTTTCTAACTTATTTATAACTTGCATGAACTCATACATAATATTTTGTTTTTGTATTATTTTAGTATAACTGTATGTTTATACTGGTGGGAGGGTAACAGTGGGTATTAATTACTTATTGTTACAGCAAATTCCTTGCTGATTTCGCTGTCCCCAGCAGGTAATGTTTTTAGATGCAGGACACTTGCTTGAATTTTAATACATTTTTTATTCTTGCTTTCAAAACATGTATCAGAACAAACAACTTACAATGTTTTGTCAATGTCCTCCAAAGGAGCGTTTAAAAACTGCGTCTCTGCCCACTGATATGCTTCTTGCTGATTAGGTTCAGCTGATATTGACTCTCCCACAGTGCAGTGACTAGTATGCCCCATAGGTGGCAGCACAACAGCTGGCAAATAACCAACACAATCTCACGGCAATTTGTAACTTTTTTATTTAGTGGCTAATTCGTATGAATTCGTACGATCTAATTCGTACAATTTAGTACGATTTGCTTATCCCCCAATGACGGTTGGGGTTAGGGGTGGGGTCAGGTGCCACGCCTCCTTTTTAAAATCGTACCATTTCGTACGACTGAACTCGTACGACCTTGTACGAATTAGCCACTAAACTGGCAAAACGTAAAATACTTACGTTTTCTCGTGAGATCAGGCTAAAATAACATACCAAATAAAACAAAATTAAATAAATTAAATAATATATAAAATATATAAATAATAACTCAGGATATCCGGCCCCTGATTGGGGATTTCACAATCATAACAATATTTCCAAAATTTAAGAAGGCAAAATATAATTCCACAAGTTACAATTTACATCAATTTACATTGTAAAGGAAAACAAGAATAATAATTCTAAACTAAAAAAATAAAGTAGTTCATAATAAAGGTAAACATTTAATTTTCCCCTTCTTATTAATTGACATTTTCACATTATAGACTTTTCAATCAGTCTTTGTTGCCTACTTATTAGATTTTTCAGCCAACAGGCAAAGTTTATGGATGGGTCTATAAACAGTGTACCTGTTTTGGTTTTCACTATAGCATCTCTTACAAGGCCTTGACTATCCTGTAGTCTTTAGGATCAAGTGTCCAGTTAAGACTGCTGATTTTGCAGTTTACAAGAATTTTAGTTTGAAATGTTAGCACCTTGATCAGTACTTTAATTTAATGTGTTTTAACTATACAAATGTTTTTCATGAATATGCTAGAAGAGAATGTTTTTGAGAATGTTGAGCTGTATCTAAATGTGCTGTTATTTTTGTCTTCCTCCTCTTTCTCTCTCTTTCCTCCAAAGCGATTCCTTTGATTGAATGTCCTCAAGGCTATAAGAGACTGAATGGCACTCGCTGTATCGGTAAGAACATGTTTCTGCTTGCTACTTCATTGCTTGCATTCATGTGATTTTATTGTATTTCTGTTCTCGCAGTGGGCATGTGTGTTTGTTTGTAGTACAAAATTTAGAATTTTTGTGTAATTGTGAGTTGATTGTGATGCTTTTGATAAGATGCTTGAGTCTGCCAGTTACACATCCAATATACTGTAATACATTTTGCCCCTGCACTGGCCTCTGTATGTCACAGCTGGCAGCATACACCATGTACTGTGCTTCTTATTTAATTGCCATTTCAAAAGCAGGTCCCAGATCTTTCACATATGACTGTTTCACTGTTAAGAAGACAGACAGGAGGAGAGACAGGTGGCATCTTTGCTAGATCTTTCTAATCTGTGTTGAAGCTGGGTGTAATAGTGAGAGAATCAGCATTTCAGGGCCAGCAGCGAGAAAGATGTAAGGGCTTTTGCTCAGACTGAAAACCAAAGACAAATAAATAAATGAATGAATAAACAACACTCACAATGCCATGTATTGTTATTGTATACTTTGGCAATAAGAACTTCATTTTAAGATCTGAATAATTCATATTTTTGAGTTATACTGATTGATGTGAGATGAGCGGTGTGCAGTGGAAACAAGCAAAAAATATTGCTTGAATTTTTGTTATTGCTGTAATTATTATTTTTTTAATTACTTGCAATATGAAAATTGTTTCCACCAATTTTTTTCTAGTATGAAAAAAATGTTTTAAAAAATTATAAATAATAATAATAATACACATAAATAAATAAATAAATAAATAAATAAATAAATAAATAAATAAATAAATAAATAAATGTTAAAAAATCAGTTTTTATCTTATAAAATATATTTTCTCAAAAATAAAACACCAATAAAAGGACCTCTGAAAATGAAAATGCAAACTTAAGAACATAGTATCATCACGCCTATGTAAACGGAATTTTGCAAGTTCTTTACAACCAAAACAACAATAGATCAAATGATCATTGGATTACAGAATCATATGTGCACAGATACATTGTGGTTCTGTATGAAGTGGCATTGCCAGCTACTGGCCTGTTTGTTGTAATACAGCACCTTTAGTTATTTTCCTGGATCCCTGTGAAAGGGTATTAATTTATCAATGGTATGCACAAACATTTGCATTTTTATTACATCATTGTTATGTAAACTTTCTCATGATTGTGTTTTGAACTGGGTTGCAGCTGGAATTGAATCCGCTGCGTAAAACATATATTGGTTAAGATGGTGGTTCATTCCACTGTGGCGATCCCAGACTAAGGGACTAAGCCGAAAAGAAAATGAATGAATGAATGAATGAATGTGCTTAGAAATCTCTGTTCAAAAGTTTATGAGATGTTTTAAAAGGTTTTTAAAATTTATTATTTTTTTTCTATCAAGACGGAATTTATTTAATCAAAAAAGTTAATATTTTTAAATGTTATTTATTTCTGTTTTGGCAAATTAGTTTTTTTTAATCCCTGTTATTATTTCCTTTATTCCTCATTATTTCCCTTTTAGAAATCAATATATGCTTATCTGGTGCTCAAAAATAATCTCTAATTATAAAAAAAAAATAATAATACATATACTGTAAAGGCCTACATAAAACACTTTAAACTCTTTATAAATGACTCCACTGTCATTTTTGATCATGTTTTAAATAGTCCTTAAACTGTTATTTCTCATTTAGAAATCTTTATAATATACTTATCTGGTGCTCAGAAATCATCTCTAGTTATAATGAAAAAAATAAATGCATACAAAGGTCAAAATAAAAGCGCTTTATAACATTTAAAAATGACTGAACTCTATTTTAAAAATATTTTTTTATGTGTCTTTGTCATATAAAAGTTTTATTATTTCTTTAAATGTTGTTTCCATTTTAGAAATCATTATAATATGCTTATCTGGTGCTCAGAAATCATCTCTAATTATAATATAAAAATACATATAAAGGTCCAAGTAAAAGCACTTTATAACATTTATAAATGACTCTACTGTCGTTTTTGATCATTTTCATTTGTCTTTGCTGTATAAATGTTTTAATTATTCCTTACACAGTTATTTACCTTTTAGAAATCATTATAATATGGTTATCTGGTGCTCAGAAATAATTTCTAATGATAACTTTAAAAAATAAATATATATAAAGGTCAAAATAAAAGCACTTAACATTTATAAATGACTCTACTGTCGTTGTTGACCAGTTTCATGCATATTTGCTGTATAAAAGTATTAATTTCTTGCCAAATGATTTTATTTTTTAAAGAATGTTAATCAAGGGTGCAGCCGTAGATAACCGTTTGTCTCTCCATCTCTGTTTCTCCACACACCCCCAGTCAAACACATCTGCTATTAGAAACACCACTGGCTGCCTCAGTTTGCCAAACCAGAGCTGAACCACAGCTAAAAGTGAAGCAGGCTTTGCTAAGAGCCTGGCCGCAGGCATCTGAAAGCAGCAATCTGGTCAATATGGTGCAATACCAGGCAACACTGAGACATATTTTACTGTAACGAGTACAGATAATTAAGATAAAACATGACTTGCTTGAAAAAAAAAAAGAACTGCTTAATATTGAGTAATTTATTCTGCAGTAAGCAAATAAGGTTATTATAATTTCAATATCAGGCATTACTCATTAAAACTGCAAAATCATTTTTAATATACTTTCAGCAAAAGCTGATCATGTGATTTTGCTATTGCCACCTTTTAAGGATCACTACATTTCTGGTGCCGTTTATTTTTAGTAGTTAATTTGTAGTACTCCCGTAATTTCTTCACAGCATAACACAGGTATTATGAACGTACCCAAGATACCTTTGATGGTTAAAATGTGTCTTAGATTTAATAAACAGGCCTGGAAGCACTTGGAGGCTCACTTTACCTTCATCTGGTAATGAATATTTCAGCATGTGCTTTTCTCTGAGGCAAGTTTACAGCACTTGTTTGGTGCTTCGAGTGCCGTTAAGGTTGAGCTTAATCACTGTCCTGATAACATGGCCTGAGGGTCCAACTAAACCTCTGACGCATTCTTACGTCAGGCCAGAGCTTTTACGGTGTATCTAGACGGCTCTCCTGTGGTTTGGCTGTTTTGTGAGGCTCTGATGCTCCCAGATCCTTTTTGCTGCCGTTAGTCATGTTGTTGTTGAGAGTAATTCCGCCTGTGCCTTAAATTTTGTTCATTATAGTTTACTTTTACTTGTTACAATTTATTTTAATCACTCCATGTACAGTTTTTAATGACTAAAAGATATTTCGCAAATATAATTTCAGGGTTAGATTAAGAATCGTGCATGTATTTTCAAAGTCATTTACACTATAAAAGTTCACAGCTCTTTAAATGACATTGACGGGTGGGACAAGCAATTTTTGGATCAAAAAGATACAATAGTAATAATCATATTTTAAATAGATTATATAGGGGGAGTTTACCAAACAAATCCAAATTTTCTCACCATTTACTTCAATGGTTCTCAAGTCTGATCCTCAGGCCCTCCTCATCCTGCATATTTTGTATGTCTTTTTACTAAACACACCTGATTCAGATCATCAACATTTTAACAGAGAGATCCATTAACTGATCCATGAATGTCATCTTTGCATTATAACTGATTGAATTAATGACAGTCATTATAAGCATATATAAAATCTCATTCACATTATAAAGGTTTCATCACTTATGAACATCCCCTTCAAGTAAAGTGTTACAATTCTGTCTCGTAATAAAATATTCCTGTATATTCATGTAAATAAAAAGTTACCATTAAAATAAAGATGACCATATTTCTTTAGGAATCTATCACCATACAGTCAATGGTGCACTGTGTATAGAAAAATAGGTTTATTTTTAAAATGGAGACATTATGGTGTCATTGCTTTGACTGACAGCTCCTCTGGGCCAGTGTGTGTTCTGTTGCAGATGTTTGGATGTTTGAGTGATTGAGTGTGTGCCCTCTCTCAGCGTCATTGTCAGCATGAACATATTAGCATTGCATTATGGAAATGTGTTGGATCTCTGGCCTACTTGAAGTGGCTGGGAATGATGACTGCCCACACCCTTAACTCGCACTCAGTGGCCTCTTGGAGAGATAATGTGTGTGTGTTTTTGTCGATGTGTGAACATTCTGTCTAAAAAGGTGAATCACATCATATGGCTTTAAATTGCATGACTAAAGGACAAAACAAATATCCATGCCTGCTGTGGACATACATGTATATATTTTTCATATTTTTTTTATTGTTATTTATTCCATTTTTTTTGTTTGTTTGTTTTGTTTTTGAGTTACATGCTTTAAAGAAATACATTTACTTGATTGCCAGAACTGCATAGGGAGTCAGAGATTAAACTTTTTCAGGCATCAAGAGTAATGCCATGATTTACAGAAAATGCTTACTAAATTGTAATTCAATTTAACAATTGTTACATCATAAACTAGACTGTTTGTGCACAATTCTTTAAACCACTTACCCATTTGTAAGTATTTAATCATTTTTCAATCAAATTTTGTACTGTATGATCGTTTTACTAATTACAGGTCAGAATTTACTTTAAATAGATACATTGCTGAATAGCAAATACTAAAATGAATCTTTCTTTCGTCTGTGGGGTGTAAAAGACTGATTTTTTTTAGACAGTTGATGAAGGTCAGAGTGATTATGGAACCAAGAAATATGAAAATGAGTCCCTGATATTTATTTTCACCCTCAGACATTGATGAATGTCAGCTTCAAGGTGTTTGTCCAAATGGAAACTGCATCAACACTGTGGGCAGCTATAGGTGTATCTGCAACCCAGGCTTTGTGCCTGATCCATCACTGACGTCCTGCTTCCGTAAGTCTCTCCTCTTCTCTTCTCTTCTCTTCTCTTCTCTTCTCTTCTCTTCTCTTCTCTTCTCTTCTCTTCTCTTCTCTTCTCTTCTCTTCTCTTCTCTTCTCTTTTATTGGAAGTCTGATTACTTTAGCATGCTCCTGTGTTCTCCATGCTTACATGCTTAAAGGAACCTTTTTAGAAAACATTTTATAACAACTCTAGAGTTGAGTTTTACCATTTTTAATACATTCTGACAATCCTCTGGTCTGGCGGTAGCATTTTTACCTTGGCTTAGCATAGGTAATTGAATTGGATTAGACCATTAGCATCTCACTCAAAAATGACCAAAGAGTTTCGATAGTCAATGCTTGAGTCTTCTGTAGTTACATTGTCTACTTAAGCTGATCCCAAATGGAACATTAAAATTTTTTTATTAAGCGGAAATTCAAACTGTTTCCCTGATGACGTTTAACGGTTGCCAAATTAGTGAAATTAATGAACAAACTACCAAACAATACCTCCCATGAGTATAACCACATTCACCACCAGGAAGCAGTATAACCACTCTCACAACCCAAAGAAAAATAATGTAATCCAACATGAGCGCCCGATAGCCCCACCTCTTCTGCTACATGAGAAAAGCAGCCGCCGTTGAGTGCTTGAAGTGTCCAACATTCCACACTTAGTTTTAACTGTTGAAAAAGTGCATCATCCGGGTAATTAAAGTGCACTTATTATTTTTAGAGTTTTCAGTGTGAACGCACTACTTACACTAACTATACTTCAAAATGGCTTAGAATAGTAAATAAGTATGAGATTTGGGACGCACCTTAAGACAAATGAAAAATGAAAAGTTTCTCTTTTCTTGGCCGATATGGTTAGGAGTGATACTCTTATTCCAGCGTGTTAATCAAGGAACTTTGCTTCAAAACCATGGCTGCAATAGCACAATTATGTTACACAGTGCCGGAAAAAAATAGATCCCAGCTAGGTAACTTTCTTTTAACGTGTCATTTTTAAGTGAGATGCTAATGGTCCAACCAGATTCAAGTATTTATGCTAAGCTAACCTTAAAGTGCCGACCAGACCTAGAGATCAGCTGTAAATTAGTAAAACTGAACTGTTTAATTTTAGGTGAGTTGTATATTGTCCCTCTATAGTCCCTCTATAGGGACTATATAGGGTGAGTTGTATATTGTCCCTCTATAGTCCCTCTATCGGCCCTTACGATCATGGCCTCCCAATCATCCCCTTCCACCGAATTGGCTCGATCACTGTCTCTCCACTCCACCTATAGCTGGTGTGTGGTGAGCGCACTGGCGCCGTTGTCCTGTGGCTGCCGTCGCATCATCCAAGTGGATGCTGCACACTGGTGGTGATGTGGAGAGACCCCCCTCATGATTGTGAAGCGCTTTGGGTGTATGGCCATACACAATAAATGCGCTATATAAATACACATTACATTACATTACATTACATTACATATTGACCCCTTTAAAAAAAAGTGAAGTGTTCCTTTAAATATTACAGTATAAACACCTTTTTCCACACATGACTTCTGAATTTCAAATTATGGGTTGTATTTCTGGTTTTGGATACTTCTTTTGAAAAGAACTGAAACAAATCACTTAAGATGATAATGCGGGGCCACAAATAGTCCATATACTTTACATAGTGAAAACTGAATGAGATGTACATTTAGCTTTGTGCTTTATTTTTATTTTTCATGCATAAAATGACAGAATAACAAGCATACAATATCTGTGGCCAAAGTGCCAGTGATTTTATATATACATCAGTATTAATATTGCTTTGTAATACTCATATCAAGATTTTGTGGATATTCCTGGTCTGTTGAAAGTCTCCTTTTTATATTCAATGGAAATGCTAAGAGGAGAATAATGACAGAAGTTGCTCCCATAATTCACTTAAACGTCATGAAGCATTGGAAAAAGGTGTGTAAATATAGTTAAATACAGTGCAGCTAACCGCTTCAACTCAAACCAATGGCTAGCAGTAAGGCAAGCAGCATGATTTAACATGGCATGTAACACTAACTGTGGCTGTCACTAGAGCAGCCTTTTCTCTGCTGTTCAGGCATTTTCATGTACAAAAGTGCTGACATCACTGGTGCATCATCGGTCGGTCAGTGGGGCACAAACACACTCAAGCTTTCTCTTTGATTTAATGAGGTAACCTAAGTGTGCTGTCTGTGTTATTGTGATAAATATAGAGGCTGATCCTTGTCCTGAAAGGCAGCATTTGCCAAATTACACCTCTGGAACACGCCGACACGTTCCTTTGTTCAGGGGAGATCAGAGAGCTGTCCTTTTAGCCTTCAGTCAGTCGTGTTTTTCATGTATAGAGTGTGCTTTGGCTGACAGTATGAAGTCTGTCAACACAAATCTGTTGTTATCTGCTTTATTAAAATGCTATTTTAATATAAAACCCTAGAATTGGCCCTTCATTAAAGTGAAAAATGTTCACATTAATATATCAGTTCTTTTGTACATCAACACATTTACTGTACCTGAGGGTGTTTTATGTCACATGACAGACTTTATAAGTGTCAACAAATGTATGTAGTGCTTTATTGTTATGATCCACAGTCTACTGAGTTTCATTCTCTAAGAATAAAACATAAAAAAGAACAAATACTGTATAAATATGTACAGATTGTACACTACACTACCTGACAAAAGTCATTGATCCCAGTTGTAAGAGCAACAAATAATAACTTGAGTTCTGGTTGATCATTTGGAAAAGTGGCAGAAGGTAGATTTTTCTGATAAATCATCTGTTGAGCTGTATTCCATTCATCACAAATACTGCAGAACACCTATTGGAACCTGCATAGACCCAAGATTCTCATTGAAATCCGTCGAGTTTGGTGAAGGAAAAATCCTGCTTTGGGATTACATCAACAGCCTGAGGTATCAAGTTATTTGTGCTGCCCATTACATTACAAACCAGGGGAGAGGGCAAATTCTTAAGCAGTATAGCGCTTCTTCTCATACTTCAGCCTCCACATTGAAGTTCCTGACTGCATAGTAGGTGAAAGTGTTCTAGGATTGGCTAGCCCAGTCACCAGACATGACTATTAATGAGCATGTCCGGGGTAAGATGAAAGAGGAGGCATTGAAGATGAATCCAAAGAATCTTGATAAATTCTGAGAGTCCTGCAAGAACACTTTCTTTGACATTCCAGATTACTTTATTAATAAGTTATTTGAGTAATTGCAGAGCTGTATATATGCAGTCCTCCAAGCTCATGAGAGTCATACACAATATATATTTTTTACCACTGCACTATGACTTTACATTCTATACTGTACATTATTTTCTGTCAAGACTTTTGCCTACGCAAAGTCAGACCTTACTATCCTAATTAAATAATTAAAAACCAAGGCATGATCATATTTTATTTTGGTACAATAAGTGTAATCTAGAGGCCTTTACCTTTCATATAAGCCACTTCTGAAACAAAATAATCAACTAGAAGTTATTATTTGTTATTCCTAAAACTTAGATAGTTAACAAGATTTTTTTTCCAGGTAGTGTAGATGAATATTCAAATATTTGGGGTCAGATTAATTTAAATGTTTATGTTTGTGAAAGTCTCATACTCACCTGAATGGAAATATACATCAAACTAAAATATATAAAATATTATTATGAACTGAAATGTATTTTTTCTGTTTACATATTTTTAATATAAAAGTATTCAATTCCATTATCTTCAGTATCACATGATCCTTCAGAAACTATTTTTTTTTCCTTTTGAAAGTAAATACTTAGCATTTACACTAGCATTTTTGTGGAAACATGATTCTTTGATGAATGGAAACTTAATTTAAAAAGATATTTTATTTTTTTGTAACTGTAAACGGTGTAATTGTTTTACTTTCACTTTCAAAATAATTTGAATAAAAATAAATCTTACTGACTATAATATTTGCAATCAACTTACATAATAGTTTTCAATAAGTCATTGCCACTTTTCTGATCATAATCTTCATTTGTGGGCTCCAATAAAATGTTTTTTTTTCTTATATGTAAACCTAACTCTTGATACAAAACACATTAGATAAACATTATATACTATTAAGATAAACATAATAGTTATAGTATATTTAAGCAATGTCTGATCAACCTTTTTATTTATTAACCCTCGCAAATGACCTTTCTTACATGCTTCCTGCTTAACTGACCTCTTTGCACAATGACGGATGTATTCCTGTCCTGTGTTTTTTTTTGTCACTCTTTGGTCTAAAAAACAGAATCCTTTTTCACACACATTCCTATCCCCTACACTTTTAATGTGGTATAGAGGCAGTTGTTCTTTTGTTATGGCAATGTAGTCGTGCACAGATGGAACACAAGGTGAAGGGAATCTCTCTTCTCTTCTGTTGTTCTCTCTCTTCCATGTTTGTGTCGTACACCATGCACACTCCTCTCCTCCCTCCTTCCTTCCACCTCCACCAACCAGCCGAAACACCTGCTCTTCGCGAGGAGAAGGGTGCTTGCTTCCGGTTTGTCGGTTCAGGGAAGCAGTGCTTGCACCCTGTGTCCACTCAGCTGAGTAAACAGTTATGCTGTTGTAGTGTGGGCAAGGCCTGGGGTCCTCATTGTGACCGCTGTCCTCTACCTGGGACAGGTAAGATCCCTGAGACGCTCCTTTTGGTTTCACCTGTTCTACTGGCATCACTCCCTCTCCTCTGTCCATCACATGACTGTAGTTTGCATGTGTTATTGCTATTTAGGTGCTTTTACGTGCCATCACTGTTTTTTTTAGTTGTGCTGTAGATTTTGTTTCCACTTTCATACACACTTGTTCTTTCATGTTTGTGTTTGACTTCCTGTAAGTGCTGCATTCATGGGCTGCATCAGAGACTAAATTAATATTTGTCTTAATAGTATTGATATGTAAGAAAACTGTTGTAAAAAAATTTTTTTTTCTAAGAAGAATCTTTCAGTTCATTTATGTCAGCTTGATTTACTGATATATGGGTAGATAGAAGATGAGTGAATGGATGGAAGGATGGATGAATGGACGGATGGATGGATGGATGGATGGATGGATGGATGGATGCACGTGTGAACGGATAGAAGATGCTAGAAAAATGGATAGAAGATGGATAGATGGATGGATGGATAGATGCACAGGTATATGGATTAAAGATGCTAGATAAATGGATAGATTGAAGATGGATGGATGGATGGATGGATAGATGCACAGGTATAAGGATTAAAGATGATAGATAAATGGATAGATTGAAGATGGATGGATGGATAGATGCACAGGTATGGTTAGAAGATGCTAGATAAATGGATTGATAGAAAATGTATAGATAGATAGATAGATAGATAGATAGATAGATAGATAGATAGATAGATAGATAGATAGATAGATAGATAGATAGATAGATAGATAGATAGATAGATAGATAGATAGATAGATAGATAGATATAGTTTGAAGGATAGATGGAAGGATAGATGGAAGGATAGATAGCAAGTATATGGACAAGGTGCTAGATAAATGGCTAAATAGAAGATGGATGGATGGATGGATGCACGGATGGATGGATGGATGGATGGATGGATGGATGCACGGATGGATGTTATGGATGGATGGATGCATAGATGCACAGGTATATGAATTAAAGATGCTAGATAAATGGATAGATAGAAGATAGATGGATGGATAAACGGATGAATGGATGGATGGATGAATAGATGCACAGGTATGGATAGAAGATGCTAGATAAATGGATTGATAGAAGATGGATGGATGGATGGACAGAAAGTAAGTAAAAAACAGATAGATACAGTAGGTAGGTGATTGGATAGCTAAACAGTAAGATGGATAGATGGATAGATAGACAGATCTATATATTAAAGGTAATCCTCTTCATAAAATGACAATGTGTGAAGGTGTTGTTGATTTTTTTTCTTTCCTTCACTCATAGCTGCGTTTAAAGACATTTGTCCTGGAGGTATGGGTTACCACGTCACCCCACCATACATTTACAAGCCCAAACCTCCTAATGGACACACTCAGACAGACAGTCAGGGGTACAACAATCCCACCATCAGACACCAAGTCCCTATGGATCCTCCAGTGCCCTTCCCCACCCTCCAGCAGCCCGTGGAGGCTCTGAGCATCACAGAGAGACAGCTGCCTGGTGAGTTCAACAGTCTGTGAATATGTAGATTTTTTTAATATCACCATTGTGTTAAGGATGCCTATCAAATTTGTGTTTGTGGGTTTGTGATTCAGAGTTTATTTGCCTTGCCTTCATTTTATGAAAGGGACACACAATATACAGCAAGAACTCTTTCACCCTCTTCTCTGCCCTTCTTTTCCTTTTTTAAATGTCATCACATGTACACTTGGCACCAAGCAGTGGAATGAGAATTGGCATCAGTCTGCACAAGACAGATCCAAAATGTAGCCAAGACTCTGTTGTTCCTATAGAAAGTGAACACAGGACTGTTCTCTCTTTGGCAGAAGGAAAGAGTCATTAGTATTGCTTCCACCTTGCAAAGCCAATGTCAAAGCTGATGAAGGATTCCAGAAGACCGGTGCATCACATCATATTTTCTCCTTTCACTACTCTCGCACAAAATGAACTGCACAGATTTTTATAGCCTCTCTGCAAAAGAAGCCCATAAAAGCATTGCACAGCTGAAAAGTGGAGGTGGGCCAGGTTCAGAGAGAAAGAATTTGTCCTTGGGCTTTATTAAGTTTTGTCCTGTTGCTGGGAGACTGTGTTTCAAAGTTGCTTTTGAAATAAAGTCTGTCCCCTGAAGCTCGCCCACTTAAATACTATTTTACTAAACATATTTTTTTTATTTTATTTAATTTTGATTATTTATTTATTTGTAATTTTATTTAATTTTATTTCTTTTTATTTTATTTTATTTTTTATTTAGTTTAGTTTTATTTTATTTTTATTTTTTAAATGTTTTATTTATTTTATTTTAGTTTAATTTAATTTATTAAAAACATTTTATTTTTTAATGTTTTATTTCATTTGATTAAATTATTTTAGTTTATTAAAATGTTTTAGTTTAGTTTAGTTATTGAACATTTTATTGAATTTTTTTATTTAGTTCATTAAAAATGTTTTTTTTTGTTTATAAAAAATTTTAGTTTACTAAAAATTATGTTTTAGTTTTTTGAGGTTTTATTTTAGTTTATAGAACATTTAGTTCATTAATTTATGACAATGTTTTAGTTTAGGTAATATTTTATTTAAGTTTAATAAAAATAAGTATAAAATATTAATAAAAATGATTTTTTATGTTTAATTTAATTATTGAGTTATTGATTTAATTTAGTTATTGAATATTTAATAGATTTTTATTTAGAAATTGATTTATTTTATTAGAAATATTTTATTGTAGTTTATTAAAAAATATTTTATTTTCGTTTTTTTAAAACAAAGTTTTATCTTTGTTTATTAAACTTGTTTTATTTTAGTTTAGTACAATCTGATGTATAGGCACTATAAGTATTATATTAAATTGACAAATTTAGTTTACAGCTTTGTTTGACACAATGTACTTTTATGTTTTAATATGACAATGATCTGCTGAAGTGACTACAGTTGCTGTACAGGTAGGTTGGGTTTGAATCAGCAATAAAGATCTGCTAAATATGCTGCACAGCTGATGCTTTTATGCTCATATCAATGCAGCACTGCAAATAGCAGCAAAACTTGTGTGCGGGAACATGATGTCATCATGACTGCATGACTGTGCTCTACGCTCATCAATCTGCAGCTACACAATGCGTTATTGTATGTCTTTGGCTTTGTTTTATGAATGTGACTGTTTATTTATATTTGTGTGTTGCTTTGTAAGAGACCAAGTAAATCGGGGTTCCAGTTTTGATTTATCTAGATAAAGAACAGACGATAGAGTCTGTCTGCGCTAGAATCACTTCCAGTACTGTGAACAGCAAAACCGTCTAAAAAACTGTCTACAGAAACCCAAAACGCATAGTATTTGTTTTTGGATTGGTTATTGTGAGGTAAACAACACATAGCAGTGTTAAATTACCATTCATTTCTCAAGCCTGCAGAAGCTCAAGGTCTATTTGTTACAGGCTTTAGTTTTTATTGCTGAGAAACTTCTCTGACTCCAGATGTAAAATTTTTCTGATGAACTTTTTTTTTAACACCTCAGTTTAGGAAAGAGTGGTGTTCAGGTAATATAAAAAAGTCTCGTCTTAGTTTTTTCTGGTCTATGTGTGTGAATAAATGCGTTTAATTCATAAATGTTAATAAATGCTTTAATTGGGCTCCACCATTCATGTGCGCATTTTGTCAGTAAAGCCGTTTCTGTAATCAGCTGTAAATGAGCTTTAATTCATTGACAATTAATTATCAAACAATTAATTATCGCAGAATATGTAATCAGCTGATTATTAGTTATTATTGCAATTAATGTTACTGCATGTTAAATATGATTTTAAAAAGGTGATATCTATGGAAGTCCTTAGAGGCCATGCAATATTAGGTTTTGCTTTCTTGTTTTCTTGTGATCATGACTTGATATAAATAATATATAATAATAATATAATAATACATTAAATATATGAAATATAGTACAAATAATAATAATAATAAATAAATAAATATGATTTTTTTTTGGTTGCGATAACAAAAACAACTTTTTGTTATTTTGAGATCATAAGAAAATAAAAGTTGTGATCACAAGAAAACAAGAGAGAACAAATATTTAAATCTATGGATATAATATATTTTCAATGGAGTGCAATAAAGGTGAGGAACTTTGGTCCTTGAAGAGTTTGTTGCCATCTCTAATCGAACCTGACTGTAATTCACAAGCAATCCTGAAGACATAGGTTATATTTTTCAGGTGTGTTTGATTAAGGATGGAGATAAACCCAAACCCTTAGACGGCCCTTTAGAAAGGCAGCTTTTTGAGAAGTGTGCAAACTGGTACTCATCAGTTCCACCAATGACCCAAAAGTCTTCTTCAGGTTGCCTGCCAGATTCTGATTCACCTGAAATTAGGCATGGGCTGGTGTAAGATTCTGACCGTATAATAACCTTGGAAAAAAAGATTACGGTTTTACTGTATTACAGTATTGTGATTACTGCTCTAAAATATATTCTTTTTAAATGTCTGGGTAAAAAACTAAAACTTTTTCCTTTCTTAAAACAATTTATTTTATATATATTTATATATATTTTTGAAAGATTTATAATATTTTGGAGCAGTAAACATGTCAGGCTGAATAATGAAAATGAATCACTGATTTCTTTATAATTAAAAATGACACATTTGGATGTCTTTTCTGCTGGAGATAATGTTGTTCTAAAAAACTAAATAAAATAAATGTGAATAAAAAATATTACACATACTTTAGGTAGGGTGTTACAGAAAATGTTAGCACTTTTAAAAAAATATTTGCTTATCATTGCATGCCTACTTAAAATACAGTATTAATATATTAAAAGATATTTGATGATTTTTTTAAAAAGTGCTAAGAGTAAAGCTAGGCAAGTCCCACGGAGCCATAACCCTGCAGAGTTCTGCTTTAGCCACAATCAAACACTAATAAACATGCTATTTAAAATCTAACACAGTTGAATTTTATTCAGAGTTGGAACAAAATTCTGCCGGACTGTGAATCTATATGACAAAACTTCAAAAACCCTAGTCTAGATGTTCACTGAAGGTAGATTGTTTTGCAGCAGTGTAAACCCAGTTTGTTCCATACATTTCATACATACATCAAGATGTTTGTTTGTATATGAGTGTGTGAGAGAGAGAAAAGCAGGTAGAATTGGAGATCTGTGAGACTGCATCTCGCTTTCTTCCACTCGATAAAGACTCTGTACCAAATGCCACCCTTGTGGTCCATTTCCACACTTCGTTGAACTAACAGACCATCAGATTAAACACCATGTTTAATTAAACATGGTTGAAAGTGAGGCTGTGAGGGATAAGCTTTACAGTTAAACATGCTACTGTATTTACATATTTGTTTTCCAGATAACATTTCAGCAGCTGAACAGTCTCTGTATATTGATCGCACTGTACTTCCCTTACAGCCTTGTTTTATTCTTGTCAAAAATGACTTAGTGGTTACCCTGACTAAGAAGTCTGTTCTGATTGACTGTCATAGGTTATTTTCTTCATTGCCCGCTGGTCTCACAGGCACCTTTCTAAAATATAAAATGATAAAGACAGTAGTGGACTTCAATATAGCAAAGCTGCAAGTAGAGTAAGCATCAAGTGTGGCTTTTGGAACAGAGCCAAAGATATTTACAGCTTCGCCCACTTTAACGCCTCATGCAGTCAGAGCAGAAGCTTGTTGCTTTAGTTGCCAATAAATTTTCTTTATCTCTTTGTGGATCAGTGAATGTGTATCATTTGTCTGTTATCTGTTTAAAGGATCATTTTACCCCCATGAGCATTGATAGGTCAGTAGTACAGCCTGGACAAGCCCAGCTTTCACCCGGGGTGTCCACAATCAGGATGGAGCCTGCCCTCCCAGGTCTCAGTCCCACTTTATGCCCAGAAACACCTCTTTTACACTTGACACACTGGTTTATGCAAAGATTTCTGAAATTAATAGAAAGCAGTTCATATAATAGACATGACCTTAGCTGACACATGCAGTCAGGACAGTGATTGGTTGATTTGAGAGCTACTGCTGTGGTCCCAGATGTTGGACCTGTTCAGTTTTCAGTTTTTTTTTTTTTTTTTTTTTTAACCAAATTAAGACTAATAATGCTATCTTCATAATTTCTTTTGCAAATCCTTAGGGCACATATCAGGGCTTTTTAAGCAGACTATGTCATATATCACTTTTCTTTCTCTTTCTATGTTGTTCTTATTACCTGTCCCTCTCCAGAGGTGGTGGAGAAAGTGTCACCACCGGCTCCAGTGGCAATTCCACCTTCCAATGAAGGTCAGGACATTACCCCAACACAGCTGGCTGGTGAGTTCTGTCCATCCATCTCATCTATCCAGCCCATCCATCCATTCATCCATCCATCCATGCTTTCCTCCTCCTGTCTGTTTACCCACTGATCCATTTATTCCTCTATCTACCCATTAATTCATCCATCCATCCATGCAGCACCTATATATTCTGCATTCTACTGTATATGCATTATTCATCCATCTATCCACTCATTCATTCATCCATCTATCCATCCATAGATGCACCTGTTTATCCTGCCAACTATCCATCTTTTCATCATATATTTGGGATGTGCAATGTTATTAATAAGATTATAATTATTATATTGATTTCATGGCTAACAAACAAGCTGACTGTTGAGTTCTGTCTTTCCATCCCATCTATCCAACCAACCCATCCATTCATCTAACCATTCATCCATCCATCCATGCTTTCCTCCTCTTGTCCGTCTACCCACTTATACATTTATCCATCTATCTGCCCATTAATTCATCTATCCAAAAATGCATGCAACTATATATTCTACATCCATCCACCTATCTACTGATCTATCCGTCTATCCGTCTATCCATGCTTTCTTAAACCTGTTCATTTACCCATTGATCCATTCACCAATCTATCTGCCCATTAATTCATCCATCTATCCATTCATTCATGCACCTGTTTATCCTGCCGACTATCCATCTTATATCATCATATATTTGGGATGTGCAATGTTACTATAAGACTGTCATTATTATATTGATGTTTTGGCTAACAAACAAGCTGACTGTTGAGTTCTGTCTTTCCATCCCATCTATCCAACCAACCCTTCCATTCATCTATTCATTCATTCATACATACTTCCATGCTTTTCTCCTCCTGTCAGTCTACCCACTGATCCATTTATCCATCTATCTACCTATTCATTTATCTATCCATCCATGCATGCACCTATATTTTCTGCATCCATCCATCCATCCATCCATCCATCCATCCATCCATCCATCCATCCATCCATCCATCCATCCATCCATTCATGGTTTCTTCAACCCGTCCATCTAGACATTGATCCAATCACCCATCCATCTACCCATTCATTCATCCATCTATCCATCCATGCATGCACTTATTTATCCTGCATCCATCCATCCATCCATCCATCCATCCATCCATTCATCCATCATATATTTGAAATTTGCAAGGTTATTATAAGACTATAATTATTATATCAATGTTTTGGATAACAAACAATAAATGTTGCATGTTAAAATTGTACACTGTTTTGAAAATATACATTTAAAAGTATGCTGAATGACTAAAAAGCAAACATATGAATGCTAGAAACCTCTCTGTCTCATTTTTCTATGGTCGCATTTTAAGATTATGTTTTTAATTAAAACAACACTACTGTTTTTTGGACAGATGGTGAATTTAAAAAGTAATTGTATTATCATTATTGTTTATTTTTCCAGAAACTTGAACGTAGAGCGTTCCAATTTCATAGGTCATGAACAGGCCATAACAAGCAGTGGATTAATTAAGAAGTTGCAAAATATTTTTCTTTGTTTCCAAGCAGATTCCTAGGACAAACCCTGACATGTATTTATTAGTTTATTTATTTAGTTAGTTTTTTAAAGTCAACAGCCTTTTCAGTATAACTGTTGACAGTTAATTAACCAACAAACTATGTTTGCTTCAGACATTCTTTCCTCTCTGCAAAGATTAACATAAAATATTCTGATGGAATGTGCATTATTTGTTGGTTTAAAAGTTGATATTGTCCTTCATTTATTTGTGATGTTATCTCTGATGTTTATTAAATACAAATTACCTCTTTTTTTCCTCTTCCTCTCTCATCAGAGATTGACGAGTGTGTAGTGAGACCTGATATCTGTGGTGCAGGAATCTGTTATAACACTGCTGAGAGCTACACATGCTTCTGTGATGACGGCTATAGAACGGACAGTGAGGGCACCACATGTGTAGGTGAGCGGTCAAAGGTTACCAAAACACTGCTGCTATAGTATTTTTCTTCACCACAAACAACAAAATGTAACAGAATCAATGAGAGAAATGTTAAAAAGCAACAAATGTGCCATAAAGCAGTTGTATTTATACAACTCAGATCATTAATTATACAATTTTAAATTGATAATTCAACAGGTCTGGCATTGACATATCTTTTGTAACTGCATATTATGAATATACTGAATATAACTCAATATAATTCTATCTTTGAATTGCAAATTTTAGGGATAGTTAAACCAAAAAGTCATTATCTACTCACTCCAGCGTTGTTCCAATACTGTATTCCTTTTTTCCAATTTATATAAGTAAAAAAAAAACACCCTGCTTTTTTTAAAAGATACGAATGCTTCAAATAATATTTATTCATTTTACACATACTGTACCATTTATTCCAATATTTCTTGGGGTATAGTGTTTGGTGTAAAACAAATTCAATTTAATTCAATTCACCTTTATGTGTAAAGTGCTTTTACAATGTAGATTATGTCAAAGCAGCTTCACATAAAAGGTCATAGTAAATTGGAACAGAGTAATTCAGTTTTTTAGTGTTTAAGGTTAAGTTCAGCTCAGTTTAGTGTGGTTTAACAATCACTACTGAGGGTCTAGACACTGGAGAGCAAATCCATCGATGCACAGCTCTACAGATCCCAAACCATGCAAGCTAGTGGCGACAACGGAGAGGGAAAAAAACATCACCAATTGGCGAAAGTGAAGAAAAAAACCTTGAAAGAAACCAGACTTAGTTGGACACGACCATTTTAATTTTTCCACTGGCCAAACGTCTTGTGCAGAGCTGCAGTCTCAGCGGCGGAGGCTGGAAGCTGGGCCTCAGCGAAGACTCGTCTGTCCCTGAAGCGTCACAGGAATCAGTCTCATGCTCTCCACTCCTCCATGAAAACTACAGCAGCTGCTTGACCTTCTTTACTCGACTTTGCTATTCTAGGTACTACCAGAAGCCCTGAGTTTAGAGATCTTAAAGAGCGAGTTGGATTGTAGCGAGACAGAAGGTTGGTTAGATAAACAGGAACTAGATTATTTAAAGCTTTATATGTAAGAAGCAACATTTTTTATATTTTGAAATGATCATATTTTCTAGACCGTGTAAGAACTCTGGCAGTTGCATTTTGTACTAAATGAAGTTTGTTAATAGAGGATGCTGGGCAGCCAGCAAACAGTGCGTTACAGTAATCCAGCCTAGAAGTCATAAAAGCATGGATTGCTTTTCTGCATCTGAGATGGATAGCATACTTCGTAATTTAGTGTAATTTCTCAGATGATTGAATGGATGAAGTTTTTGTGACATGGGATATATGATTTTCAAAAGTTAAATTGCTGTCTAATATGACATCCAGATCTTTTATAGTAGAGCTAATGCTAACTTTGTATCCCTCTAATTGTAGGTGCGAGTTGCGAGATCTTCTGTGTACAGGATTTAGGCCCAATAAGTAATAATACTGTCTTGTCTAATTTTAAAAGAAGAAAATTGTTGGTCATCCAGTTCAAAATATAATCTGTCTACTTGTCTACAAATGCACGGATGAAAATCATCACTTTGCTTGTTACATGAATCTCTATTACTGCCACAGTTCACTCCGACCTGCCCAGAAAATCCCACCTTTGATAAATCTAGCTAACAAAGTGTGAAATAAATTACCCAAAAATAATGTAGATTGTGTGAACTCTAGTTGTTAGATGATAATGCAATAAGCTTCTGTTGCAAAGAAGACAACATACATGCTTGCGACAGAGAAGAAAGTTGACAGATTAAATTTTGTCACATTTCTTATTTCTGTATCTAGATGAGTTTTTAAAAAGACTCAGCAGCGATTGAGTTTGTTGAGAAAATATAAGACATTTTGATTGTCGTATATAAATCACTTATTGAGTCTGTTCTTACTTTTAAAATTGTAGCCTGGTTTAACTCCCTCTCCGATAAAAGCACAAATAAACTTTTAAGGCAAATGTAGCGAGTCAAATAATTGGTGAGAGGCAAACACCTCTCACTGATATATTAACAGCAGCGATAAAAAGGAAAACCTCTACTATTGTGAAAGACTCTTCCCATCCTTTGCATGGTTTCTTTAAATTACTTCTTTCTGATAGACGCTATAATGTTCCTTCAGCAAAAAAAGGATAAGTTCAAGAAGACATTTATTGCCACTGCCATTGGTTTTTTATATAGGATTTTTTTTTAAAATATTGTGTAGTTTATGTTTTGTGCATTTATGTTTTTATGTTTTATAATAGTGTATTTATGTTTTGTTGTTGTGTGTGAGCCTTTTCTAAAGAAAAATTGCCAACCCCTGTGGGATAGACAATAAAGTTTATTGAATTGAATTAAAATGAATTGAAATGAATTTAATTCAATTCAATTTAAATGTATTATTTATAGAAAATACTAACACTGACCATTGGTCTTTGTGCATAACTGCCCATTAATAAGACCACATCACAGTGACTCATCTAGATTAAATTTAATTCAATTCAATTCAATTCAACTCAATTCTATTTTATTTTATTTTATTTTATTTTATTTTATTTTATTTTATTTTATTTTATTTTATTTTATTTTATTTTATTTTATTTAGATGAGTCACTGTGATGTGGTCTTATTAATGGGCAGTTAGGCACAAAGGCCAATGGTCAGTGTTAGTATTTTCTTTAAATAATACATTTTTGGGTTTGTTTTTCCGCCAAACTATATTGTATGCCTCCAGAACACTTAGAGTATCGTTAACACACATCTCCTGTGGTTATTATCTGGGGTTTAATACTGGTTTCTATTTACTGCCATTATTTGGATGAGCACAAGTGGGCCATTTTCTTTAGATTTCTTGTTTTTGTGATATGAAAGCGAAAGAAGGGCATATAGGATTGGAACAACACAAGGGCAATCCAGTTATACATTAACTTTCATTTCTGTGAGAGCTTATTTCTTTACGTAACCTAAATGCAGCACCGATGAGGATCCCAAACTACATCCATGCTTCTATGTATAAAGTCATCATCATAATATGGAAGAATAGCATTTAAATAAGAATAACTTTAGTCTCTTTAATTTTACAAGATGCCTTTTTTGGCATTTTTGTGCTTCCAAATACAGGTGGTGAAGTATTAGTGGATGATATATTGCAGAAACACAGGTTTTGTACTGGGTTCATGTCTTATATTGCCTGCAAAGACAGATCCATTGATTACCCAATAATTGTTTTTGACAGATGTCGACGAGTGTGCGGAGAACCCAAGTTTGTGTGCTAATGGCCGTTGTCAGAACACTCCAGGCGGATTCCTGTGTGTATGTGAGCTTGGCTTCATGCCTAACGAGAGGGGCAGCAGCTGTTCCGGTAATTTCAACACTCTGTCCAATACTGTATACAGTACACACACACAACCTAACTGAATCAGGTTCACGCTGTTGGATTTGTACCTACATTTATTCCATTAAGAATATTTTTATTGATAATTACTTAGCTTGTGGACATGTTAGAAGCAAAACAAAATGGCTCGTTTAGTGGTTTAAAGCGCTGTATTTTTCCTCGTGAGCTCTCCTTTATTTCTTGGCACTTATTTTGATTCAGACAGATCAGCGCTCATATGAAGTCTGCTTTCGGTCTTGAACCGCAGTGTGGTCATCTAAATACAGGCACAGCTCTGTCTCTTTCTCAACTCCAAAAACATCCTGTGTGTGTGCGTGTGTCATTAGCTGGTTTTCAGGGTTTGCAGACGAGGTAGAAACCACCCTGTGACACACTTTGAGGTTTGTGGAGGAAGGAGAGAGGTATTATCGTACCCTCATCCAAGTCACCCAAATACCTCAGCGCCGCTGCTGCAGATGAGGAAATGTTCATGGTGCTTGGAAAACACATCTTCTACTCATATTAGGAAATCTGGAGTATAAGACATCCGGCAGTGTCTGCTGAGAGTTGCTCATTACAGTCATCTAAACTGATATGGCCAGCACTTTGGGTTCTCTGGTAAACTGCTTTAACTCTTTTAGTTTCAGAGCAGTTACCCATTTGGTAATAAATCTAACCTTAATTACAGAAGCCAAAATTTTTGAGTCTTCAGAAGATTTCTTTGTTTGTTTAAACCAGGGGTCACCAAATTTGTTCCTAGAGGGCCGGTCCAGATTTTAGCTCCAACCTTAATCAAACACACCTGAACAAGCTAATCAAGGTCTCACTAGATTATACTTGAAACACCCAGGCAGGTGTGTTGAGGCAAGTTGAAGCTAAACTCTGCAGGGCACCGGATCTCCAGGAACGAGATTGGTGTACCCTGGTTTAAACCACCCAAATATATGATATAGAAGTTACTTTATTTGCAATCTGAGGTATTGATCTTCATCTTTGATTATGCAAGATAATGGATACTTCATTTATTTATTAGTCTGTCTGTTAAATCAGAGTTTGCAGTTACTTGCAACCCTCCCATTCTCGGAGGTGGTTATAAACATACAAACGTTGCACACATTATTGTTTTTTTTAAAAGCATGACCGTACAACACAAAAGCAGTTATGAATGTATTAAAACACATGCTTATTTATTGTAAAAAATAAGGACAAAAAAATACTAATTTGTGCATCTTCTGACTTCCGTGTGCATATATGCTGCCATAGTAGATTATGTATTCTGAGAAAATTTTATATCCTTTTGTTTCAAGTATGGTTCTGAAAAATCTCCATTTCAAGAGCCATCTACCCCTTTCCCTTAGCCCTATGCCTTCTAGCTAAAGAGAATTGGGACACCCCTACCGCTACACGTAAACACACAAAACAAGGGGTAGTGGTAAGGGGAAGGACTAAGGTATAGGATTGAGAATGGGCCTTAATAATAACCTCATCTAATGAATGTGGGCACAATATTTGTTCTTGGTGTAATTTTGGAGATCACCTTCCATGTTCATTCGTGGACTTTATTTTTAACATATATGAGTGCCATAAAGATTTCAAAGTTTAACATTGTGCCATAAAATCAATCAAATGTAATCACTTCTGCAAGTGCAATCCAATGGAAAAAAAATCGAAAGGCTGATGGCTTTTTATATGCATGTTGTTGTTTTTAATGTAACTAATAAATGCTCATTTTTTCTTCTGTATGTTATGGATAAATATGATAATTCTAATAGTTTGATCAAATTAATTCGATTTTTGGAAATCACTAGCAACCCCCTCCACTGTGTTAAATTGTTGTTACTAGTTTTATCACTGGAAACCAATTATGAGCAAGATTCAAACCTACATCTCTTATTTAAGTTAAGCCACAACTTTCTTACTTGGAAAATGTATTTACATTGGAGGCCAGATTTTGCATTGCTTCAAGCTAGGTAGTTTTGGCATCTAACTCCTGTTTACTTGAACAGTAAAATGCTAAAAATGCTTGCAACTTAACAACCAAGTCTGACATATACAGTCCCATAATTGTTTTTTTTTCCCCCAATTCACAAATAGTGTTTATATTTCAGCATGGTCCATGCAACTCATAGATCTGTATCTATAGCCTTATTTGATCACTTCAGACACTTGATGTATTCTCTATCTTGAAAAGTAAACGTAAAAAAATCAAGAATTCCACAACATTGCACTTTTGTTTAGAAGCTGGGGCTAATTCCATTATTCTGCTGTACTTTGTCCAATTCATAACAATAAAAGTGCACCATCTGTTTAAGTGTGAAGTCTGCAATCCCCAGATTTTTTTTACATTTAAGGTTATTAAATTCATGAAAAATCAAGTGTTTTCGAAGTTTAAACCTGAATCTTTTTTGAGTCTTTATACATTAAGAAAGCATTCTTTTAAAGACTGGAAATGTGTCACTGCAAATGCTCCTGTCCAATGGAATGTAGCGCTCTTTAAAAATCTGTTTCGGTTGTGATTAGGTGATGTGTTTTCACACCCTAACCGCTTTAATGTAACGCATCCATTCAGCGTACAGATGAAGTGTCTTTGGCAGCCGCTGGAAACAGTAATAAAGGCGAATAAATGGTTGAACGTGTAGAAGGAAGCAGGCATTGTGCCATCGTACATCACGATATCGCCATCGGAGCGCTTTCACAGTTAAGATGTTTTTCTTCAAGCAGCTTCATTAATAACGGTGTAGCAGAGAAACGGAGAATGCCAAATGAGCTTTCCTGCACCTGAGTGAATCGTTTTCTGTTCCCCTCACAGTAGGACAGCAAAAACACCAATCCATAATTATAGGACCTCCTATCAAACCTTCACAGCTGGCATGTAGACTGTACAACTGACTTGAGGCATATCATAAATCCATATGCGTAGCTGAAAAATAGGCATTTATAGACATTTTGTAAAGTACAATTTTTTTGAAAAAATAAAAATAAATGTAGTCTGAAATCTGATGTTTCAAAAAATATAACCTCTTTTTTTTACTGTGTTTATTTTTTATTTTTATAAAAATGTCATATTTTGTGGAAAACACTGAAAAAAATGCCTCCTTATTTAGATTTTTTGTCTTGATTCTAGTTCAGTTAAAAAGGAAACTTATGAAACAAGAAGCATTTTCTAGACAAGCAATTTTTTTTCCAGAAATATATGTTTTCAGAAATAGTATGCCAAAATTTAGTTGTTTTAAACAAGCAAAATAATCTGCCAATGAAGCAAGCTAAACAATCTTGTCAAAGCGGAAACAAGATTCATTTTCTTACCCCACTGGCTGATTATTTTGCTTGTTTTAAGGAAAAACAAACCAATTTTTTAGCATATTATTTCTGAAAACAGGACAATACTTTTTTGGTGATTTTCAAAAATCTAATTCATTTTTATAAACCATTAGAAATACTATATATTATCCATAACCTACAGAAGAAAAAAATGGAGTTAAGAGCTATATTAAAAAGCAACATACAGAAAAAAAAGTCATCAGACTTTTAATTATACTGATTCTGTCTCTTTATTTTTTTTACAATGTTCTCTCTGTGTGTAGATATTGATGAATGTCAGAACAGGAGAGCGTGTCCATCTGGTCTCTGCTATAACACTTTGGGCTCATTCATGTGTTCTCCCTGTCCGGATGGGTTTGAAGGAAAAAACGGCCAATGTGTAGGTAAGAAGCCTTTTCAGTGTTGTTGATTTTATGCGCTGATATGTGTTTAGCACAGCTATTTTTTGACAAATGAGGGAGCTTTTATAAATGTGACCCATGGTGGTGTTTTTCTTCGGATATATTGTGCGTGTGACCTTCTCTGTGCAGATATAAATGAGTGTCTGGATAAAAGAGTGTGCGCTCATGGTCAGTGCTCTAATCTGGAGGGCTATTTCGTCTGCACGTGTGATGAAGGGTTCTTGCCCACTCCTGATGGCAAAAGCTGCACAGGTACCATCCATCCACAGTTCAGCAGCTTTTAGTGTTTTTCAAAGACTTTGCTTGTCTCTATCTCATCAAACAAAGGATTGATAAGCTCTTCGACTTTCAAGTGCTTTGTCCATTGTTGTGTTTTTGTCTAGTTTGGATGTAGCTTTTGTTTTGTTGTTTTGTCATTGTGGAAATCGTTAGATGCATGTTTATTTTTTTTGTTTTTGTAATGATTTGTTTTGTTGTTGTTTATTTATAATTAATTTAGATAACTTTTTTTCCTTAAAACAAGTTAATCATAATCAGCCAGTTGAAGAATTAAACTAAATGTATTTCAAGACTAAAACCAGATTATTTTACTTAACCCTATAGCAGATTTTTTTGCTTGTTTGATGAAAACCCACTTAATCATGACTTACTATTTCTGAAAATTATAGTTTTTACTTGTCTAGAACAGGGGTTCCCAAACTTTTCAGCACGCAACCCCCAAAATAACAATACCTGGCGACCCCTACATTCATCGAGGTGGTTATAAATATACAAATGTTGCGCATACAACAATAGGCCTATATAAACACAAGCATATTATTACACAAAAAAAAAAACGCAACAGTCTAACAACCATATAATTTTTATTTTTATACAACCACAGTCATTTATTATTTGTTTAATTTATTATTAACATAGCTTAAAGAGACTGGTAGACCCAATGTTTTCAGCACAAGTCTATTCTTGGTTTGATTTTGAAGACCGCCTTTCTTAAAGTTCAGTTATGGCATGTATTTATTTTTAATGCATTTGATTGCTATAAAGGTGTCAGAAAAACTTTTACCTGGTGCTATAAAATCAATCTGCTGCAGCTGATGCTATTGCTGTGTTATTAATCTAACGTAAACACACCAATCCTATGAAAAAAACAAAAACTGAAAGGCTGATGGCTTTTTGTTTGCATGATGTTGTTGTTTTTATGCAACTATTAAATATTTTTATCTTCTGTGGGTTATGGATAAAATTTGGTAGTTATAATAGTTTAATCAAATATGTTTTGGAAATCAAAAAGTGACCCCTGTCATTGTCCCATGACCCCTACTTTGGGAACCACTGAACTAGAAAATGATTCTTGATTTCAGAATTTTGGGATATTTGGACTATAACAAGAATATATCTAAGTAAGAAAATCATTATGGACAGTTTAGTGTACAAGTCAGTGCTGATTATTATGTTTTATTTTCTGAATTAATTGCATTTAAAATGCAAAATAACAAGTTAATCAATTAAATTACATTAACTAGCCATGGATTAGGTGAATCTAATGGATAGGAAAAAATTTAATGAAATATTTTGCACAATGTGATCACATATTGAAAAATAACCATGAATCAAAATTGTAAAATGCATTTTAAAATAAACTTAAATCAAGACTTTAAAGGCACTCTATGTAAGATGTAATTAAAAGTATTATATATTTGTTATATATTTTGTTGACTTATGTGCTTATGTTATCACAAATGTTGCGAAGAATGTTAATTAGTGACATGGACCACCGTGTTCTGCTTCGTATTACCCTGTTAATAAGTTTTGAAAACTTTAGCTCATCCATAAACATGACTTCTGAACATGAGTACCATATGATGTAATGAAGATGTCACGGCATCATCAAATCATCATGGCTAGAATAAAAGCAGTTTTAATTTTCTAAAATCATTTTAGGGTCAGTATTATTAGCTGCCTTAAGTAATATATTTTTTTCAGTTGTCTACAGAACAAACTATTGTTATATAAAGTTATCCTAACTTGCCTTTCCTTTAAATTGCACTTTAAGCAGAATACTATTATATTGACAAATGTCTAGTCAGATGTTATGTACTGTCATCATGGCAAAGATTTAAGAAATCCATTTTTAGAAATTAGTAATTAAAACTATAATGTTTAGAAATGTGTTGAAAAAAATAATATTTTCGTTAAACAGAAATAGAGGATAAAAATAAACAGGGTGGTCTATTAATTCAGGAGGGCTAATAATTCTGACTTCATCTGTATGCTCTCTCAAATTTTGCAGCCTCCAGTACTGTTGTCAGTTTGGTGTGTCAGGGATTTTATATGTTGTAGCTTTTTATGTAAGTTATGACAGCACTGTGACTCTCAATTTGCAAGTCACACAAACAGGTTGAATAAATCAATAAAATAAAATAAAATCAATCAATAAAACATATAAAATATAGATAAACATTGTGTATGTGTGTCACAGACATTGATGAATGTCAGGACGATAACGTGTGTATCCAAGGTCACTGTCAAAACACACAGGGGTCATTCATCTGCAACTGTGAGCCTGGCTTCAAACTGTCGTCCTCAGGAGACCAATGTGAAGGTACCAGACTGAATTTGTGTGCCATATATATTCATGTATTCATGTTACATCTAAGATTGATGCTGAGATATTCTGATGTTTACAGATGTGGATGAGTGTTTGGTGATACCTCAGACCTGTGATGGTGTGGGCCAGTGCGTCAATATCTTAGGGTCTTACCAGTGCAATTGCCCACAGGGGTATAGACAAGTCAATAGCACCAGCTGCCTTGGTGAGATAATCCTACACACACAAACACACACATATAAGCAGAGGCTGTGTTCAGAATAGCATATTATAATCATAATACTCTTAGGGTGCATGTCCACCAAATAATGTTTCCTTATCTGATCTTATTTTTTTTGTTTTTTGTCAATTTTAAGACCCATATTTTTTTTATAAAACCAGCAGCATACACTACCAGACAAAAGTATTGTTTTCAATCCAAGTAAATAATAACTTGACTTCTAGTTGATCACTTGGAAAAGTGTCAGAAGGTAGATTTTTCAGATGAATCATCCCAATCATCACAAATACTGCAGAAGACCTATTGGAACCCGCATGGACCCAAGATTCTCAGAGAAATTAGTCAAGTCTGGTGAAGGAAAAATCATTGTTGGGGTTACATTTAGTATGGGGGTGTCTGGAGAGTGGATGGTAACAACAGCCTGAGGTATCAAGACATTTGTGCTGCCCATTACATTACAAACCACAGGAGTGGGCAAATTCTTCAGCAGGATAGAGCTCCTCATACTTCAGATGAGTTATTAAAACAATTATGTTTAGAAATGTGTGGAAAAAAATCCTCTCTCCGTTAAACAGAAATTGGGGTAAAAATAAACGGGTCTAAAAATTCTGACTTCAACTGTAGCCAGCTAAACTTGTAACATAGCAGACTAAAAATTGAATATATTAGAATTCCCTCTGTTTTATGTATTTTTGTTTACAAAAATACAAGCAGTAAGAAATCGACCAGAATTCAATTCACGAAGCTAATTTGATCACTCTATCCTCATAGATGTTGATGAATGTGAAGATGATACACAACTGTGTATCCCGAATGGAGAATGTTTGAACACTGAGGGTTCATTCCTGTGTGTGTGTGATGCTGGCTTTGTGTCCACCAGGACAGGCTGTCAGGGTACGTATACACACACAGAGACACACACAAACACATTCACTTTTGGATGCACCCTGCTGTGGTTTGTCCTGATTCTCAGCGGTGCTGTGTTGATATTTATTTGATGTTTACGTGAAATTAATCTGTTGCTTTGTTGAAAAGCCCCAGTCTTTGGCGGCACAAGAGAGAGAGCGAGTACGAGAAAGAAAGGGATTGTGTGTCTAATGGGTTTCACATATGAGCCAATGTTATTTTTCCTCTGGTGGGACGGGTGTATGTACTCCTGGGACCCAGTGAGGTGCCAGAGTTGTTTTAAATGCCCCATCCAGCAGTAAAACGGCGAGAAGAAAGCTTCTGCACTAGTTGTCTAGACAAAGAGAAATATATCACATTAACATGACCCAATGTGTGTGTGTGTGTGTTTATGTGTGGGCTTTTTCAGATGTAGATGAGTGTGTGGATGACACCAAATGTATAAATGGTACCTGCCAGGGTAAAAACCGAGAGAAATGATTTGCTTTTAGTCTCACTCTCTATCCAGAAGCTCTGTGCTGATTAGTTAATCAGGATATGCTGATTGGTTGCTTGTGCTGTGTGTCAGATATTGATGAGTGTGCTGATTTGGGGATATCTATTTGTGGGGTTTGGGCTTGTATGAGCACACCTGGCTCTTACCGATGTGAGGCACCTTGCCCACCTGGCCATGCCCGAGGTGAACATAGCATCTGTTTTGGTGAGTGTTCAAGGGCACCAACTTCAGCCGTGATGTCATCACTTTGCTTCTCTCAGCTGGCATTGTTGCACTGATCTGAGCTGTTTTGTTTGTCCAGTATGGCTTAAGTGTGTGGCTTGCAGCTTGCAATTATGTTTACATGTTTACTCATTTCATATTCAGTTGTCCGTATTTACTGTATATATACTATCATCCAAATATTTGGAATTAGGTTTTTATGTAAAATGATAGTAAATGCATTTTTGATTACATTATAGTTTGTTGTTCTTCTCATATAAAGAACTGTTCACACCAAGCATAATAACAAAACATGATGATAAATACAGACTTAAAAATCGTTCTAAAGGTAAAACAACCACATTGTTCAGACCATTATTTTTTTCCACCAGCAAGAAGGTCACTGGTTCGAGTCTCGTCTGGATCAATTGGCTTTCCTGTGTGGAGTTTGCATGTTCTCGCATTGGTTTCCTTCGGGTCCAGTCCAAAGACATGCTGTATAAGTTAACTGAATAAACTAAATTAGCCATAGTGTATGTGTGTCAGTGCTGGGTTATAGCTGGAAGTGCATCCGCTGTGTAAAACATTTGCTGGATAGGTTGGTGGTTCATTCTGCTGTGGTGACCCTATATTAATAAAGAGACTAAGCCGAAGAATGGCATTTCTATGTGGAGTTTGCATGTTCACTCTGCATTTGTGTGGGTTTCCTCCAGTTTCCCCCACAAGTCCAAAGACATACGGTACAGGTAAATTGGGTACGCTAAATTCTGAGTGTGTGTGGATGTTTTCCAGAGATGGGTTGCGGCTGGTAAGTTGGGGGTTGGTTCCGCTGTGGCGACCCCAGATTAATAAAGGGACTAAGCCGAAATGAAAATGAATGAATGAATGATTTTTTTCCCCAACTAATAAATGATAAAACACTGACAGCCACTCAGACTCCATTGATATTAATGGTAAAAAGAGCTTGAAATTTAAAGTTGTAAAAAGACATGCAGATGCTCTTCTTGATGTTAAGCCATCTTTTCAAAGATTATTTAAAGGTATTGTTTTTCACAGAAACAATTGGTTTTACATAGAAAATAAATATTAAAAACACATACTAGTTATGCGGGCTTGCAAAGTAAATTCTAAAAATAAAAGTACCTCAGCTACTTTCAGCACATTTGTGTTGCCTTCTTTGAAAGTGCTGGGGTAAATTGTGCTGCTTTAGTTTAATTAGAGTGATTACACCTCAGATATGTTTATTGTTATATTTGTATTGGTATTGTGGTTGATGTGAACAGGCTTTACTATACTTTTAAGTACCAAGTAATATTAATCAACTACATATACTTACTTGTGAAGAGGGGAATGATGAGGGTTGGTTTATGATTAGTTGAAGGTAATTATGCATCATTTATTGTTATTACTATTATAAATACATGGGACATTTAGACATGTATTAGTAAATTTGTAAAAATGAATTAATACTATTAACAAATGTTTTAAAAGTACTTTGTTTGTTTAATGTTAGCTAATGTAATTAATGTTCACAAATGAAACTGTATTACTCAATTTTCTTTCAAATAATTTCGTTTCTATTTCTTTCTATTTGTTACAAAATCTCGGGGAAAAAAAGTGTCACGTTTCCACAATGATATTAGGAAGCACTAGAGTTTTCAGCATTGAAAATAATAATAATAATAATAATAATAATTGTAGTAGTAGTGATAGTAGTATAATAGTAGTAGTAGTAGTAATAATAATAATAATAATAATAATAATAATTGTAGTAGTAGTAGTGATAGTAGTATAGTAGTAATAGTAATAATAATAATAATAATAATAATAATATTAATAATACATTTTTCTTGAGCTCTAAATTAGCATATTAAATTAATTGAAGGATTATGTGAAACTTGGGGCTGACGTATTGATGCTGAAAATTCAGCTTTACTTACACAGGAATAAAGAAATTTTTAATATATATGTCTAAAAAAGTCAGTTATACTAAACTATAAAAAAATATTAGAATAATACTGTTTTTACTGTATTTTTTATTAGCACAAAACGCTTCTTTTCCAAAAAGTCTCAAACTTTTGAATAGAACTGTATGTGATTTTTGAACTCCCCGTTGTGTTCTTTCACTCATCCATTCATCTCAGCACACAAAGAGCTTACAAAAACATCTTCTTCCTTCTGTCTCACTGTCTCTCCTGTTCTCTTTCTAGATGTGGATGAGTGTTCTCTGAATGAGAATACCTGTGGAAGTCATGGTACTTGTCAGAATACAATAGGCTCCTTCATCTGCCAGTGCGACCCGGGATTTAAGGACTCTCAGGATGGGCAGGGCTGTGTGGGTATGTTTTTTTTCCACTCTAGTTTCTGTGACTTCAATACGTTCAACTTAAAATTAAATAGTATTCACTGTTTATTCACAGATTAATCACTATTAGACACCTATCTTAAACAGCTGAAATGTTTTGCTTGTTGTTTTTAAGGTATAGTTCACCCAAAAATGAAATATCTGCGATGTTTTACTCCTTTTGTTGTTTGAAAGCTTTTGAATATTTTATTCAAGCTATAAATGTTCAGCATCAGAACTAGTGCTGCAAGCAACAAGCAGGAATTTGCACAAGATAGAAGGACATAGTTTCTCCCTGCGTTCGCGTGGGTTTCCTCCGAGTGCTCCAGTTTCCCCCACAGTCCAAAGACATGCTACAGGTGAATTGGGTAAGCTAAATTGTCCGTAGTGTATGAGTGTGTGAGTGTGTGAGTGTGACAAGCCCATACGATAGGCCGGCTGGAAGGTGCAAAAAAGTCGTTATCATATGGACTTGTTCCAAACAGAGCCGACCTCGCAATCATACGGGACAAAGGCCAAAGAAAAAGAAGAAGAAGAAGCAGGACATACAGTATAACATAGGGATGTCCAGATCAGGGTTTTTTTTCAGAGTCTCCCGTTAAGGTTTTTATTTCAGAGTCAGAATCACTTGATTTTGTGTATCTATTGATTTTGTGTATCCCAAAAAGCGTACACTGCGGATACACTTTTGTGTATCTATTGATACCGAAACCCATTCTGATACTTCAATAATACATAACGCAAGACCCGGAGATTGGCTGAAAGTTTTCAAAAATGGTTGAACTCATTTGTTAATCTTTTGTTCAAAGTTGAGTGTTATTTTGAGTGTAAAAATATATCTTATTCCTTTGGGAGACAAACGGCTAATGGATGAGTGGTCTAGTGTGTTTCTAAAGCCCTGATAGACAGGTAAACCAGAGCTGGGTTTTTAAACCGAGGCCAGATTTTTTGCCACTTCCTCTCAGACAATGTAAAAAAAGATGGCAGACGCTTTGCTATGGCCATGATTGATGTGCGTGTTTAGTTTCTTCCAGTCTGAGGGTGAACGGCACAGACCCCGGTAATGTTTAAAACACAGCGACTGGGGTTAAACACATCAGTGGCCCCATATACACACACATCTAGACATATTAATACATTGACACACAGTCAAGACCTATTAAAGTGATGGAGCCACATGTATTTTTTGTGGCCTGGTGTTTAGAGGTCTGGAGCTGGTGAATGCTTTAAAATAACACATGTTTTCATCTTGACTGCTCTTGTGCAGCTTACCTTCTGAAAGAGAGTTGCCTTTATTATATGACTAATATTATTATTTGTGTAGCATAGATAATTGAATTTGAAAAAAGACAAAAAATAGCTAAACATAAATGATTTAACTTAAAATCAGGCTAAAATGACAATAATTAAACCTGTAGAAATAAAAGCTATACAGAAACAAGTCTCTTAAGCTCACTGAGGCTGCATTTATTGCATTTATTTAATCTTAAATGGAGTAAAATAGTATTATTGCAAAAAAATATTACATTTAGTGTTAATATTTATTTCATAGTTTTGTGTTGATAAAAATAAAACATGTATAATGCAACCTAGGCTCATTCTGAAAACGTCCTTCTATATACATTTCTGGAGATCGCAAATTATGTAGCCAGAAGTTTTGTCTTCTACATTTTGTCTTTAGAGCGAACGGGGTGGTATGACACCGTTTCTTTTCACGCTCACCAGCCGAACACTTCCCTCCATTTGAACCGCTTTCTAGATGTTACCAGTTTGTCCTGTAGCTCACCATGTATGTTGGTGGACTTGAGACGCAGAGGAGTTGACCATGTCAACAGGCTTCGAGTCTAACGAAGAACGGTTCCAAAAAGCGGGTAAGACAAAAACAAAAGCCAAGAAATAAAAAAACAATATATAACATATAAACAGTGTATATAATATAAAAATAAAAAGTAAATAATGGTAAAAATGTGGTAAAAATCAGGCAAGATCTTTTTTTCTGGATTGCTTTTTAAATCACTGTCAGTTTAGGGATTAGGAAAGTTGGTGGATGGGTCAATCTGTACTTTTGAAAACACTATTAGTTGGTTTAGGGAAGGAGGAGGGTGGGTTAGTCGATCAATCAATCAATCAGTCAGTTTGTCAACAGCAGCCTCTGGTTTACACGAGAACAGCATGCGTGAATGGCATTTGCAAGGGAAATCTGAAATCCCAAAAAGCGTACACTGCGGCCTCTAGGGGATTCACAAAAACGGCAAAAAAAAAATGTAGCTCCGGGGATGTATTTGGTGCTCTCCAGAAATGTATATAGCGGTACATTTTCAGAATAAGCCTAGTTGGTACTATTATCAATGCATCAATTAACTGATATGCTAAATATTTTTGCCAGGATATATTTTTTACACATTGAAACAAAAAGCTTTTATTTGATAAACTTTTATAGCATTATAAATCAATTTTGCTCCTATTAATACATTTTTTATACATTTACATTTTTTTTAATTTTAACTCTTGAGTAGTTTCACTGCTCACACCATGGTATAAGATTTAAACCACCCACACCTACTGCACACAGCATATTGTTCTCTAGCTTGATCTAAGTCTATGGGTTTTCATACACACACGCATAGCAAACAAACACACTGAACCACACACTCACTGTTAAACACACACTCTCTCTCTCAGTCTCTAAATAGAGGTTGTTTGTCTTATTGGCTTATGTAACCCGCCACAAACAACCTCCATCGTTTCTGGTTTCCCACAGCAGTAACACACAATAATACACACTAATGCTGATACACAGACAGGCTCTGCATTCCTCTTTTCCTCCCACTTCTCTCTCTTTATCCATTCTTCCGTCTCTCTCCTCAGATTCTCCCACTACTACATCCATTATACCCTCTCTCTTCCTTTTGTCCACCAATTACCTAGACAAACAAAGACCTGTGTGTTTCTTTGTTATTTTATTTTTGTCCTTTTCTCCCTCATTTGTGACATAGCTGAAGGAAATGCTAAATTTGAACCCGCTAAGTCAATTTGAGCACCACATTTTAATAAAGTGCAGTTTTCTGTGCCCTAATCAGTTGACAAACAAAAACAAATCCCAGATCCAGACGTTCTATGATCTATAGACTTTTCTAAAGATCTGTTTCAGCCCTTTCAAGCTTCTCTGTGTCTTGAACTGTTTTAATGAAGTAAATGGATAACATCTAATCCCTTTCCAGAGACTGAGAATCTTAACTCCTTGTGTACTTGAGGGAAAAATAAATAAAAACAAAAGCATTAAAGCATCCTGAACTAATTTTGTTTGCTGCTGCTGGGGGAAAAAAAGAAAAGAAAATTGCTTTTCTCTGTATTGTCGGAATTCCTAATAAATATAAAGTGAGTTTTCCACATAGACGTGTTTGCTTCTAATGCTTTGAACATCAGTTTAATTTAAAATGTCATTTTGTTTGAAAATATACTTTAAAAGGTTGATGCAATACAATTATTGCTAAAATGTATTATGAAAAAGTACAGCTATTATGTCAAGGATGAGACAACCCATTTTTGTTTCTGCTTTAAATTGACATAGTTTACAAACATAAGCTACGTCCCAAATGGCACACTATACACTATGCTCTTATGCACTTACACACTCAATACCATAGTATATGTATGTAGTGTCGTCCCAAATGGAACACTAATGGGTTTTTTTACAAAGCGGAAATTAAAATCGTTTCCCATATTAATGAAATACAGTATATGACCAAACTACCAAATAATACCTGCCATGAGTATAACTGCATTCACCATCGGGAGGCAATATAATCACTCTCGTAGGAAAATTTTGCTTTCACAATCTAAATTAAATAATGTAATCCAACATGTGAGCCTGATAGCTTCGCCCCTTCCTCTTTCGTGCCATAGATATTTACATTAGATGTCCCCAACTCTGTTGTTGTCTATTGGAAGGAATGCATCAATAGAGCCGCCATTTTAGTACAGGGTTGCTCTTCTTTGAAATTAATGAGGGACCAAGCTGCATTGGAGGACTGGCCATCTGGAACCAGAGGTATAGATACATATATCTATGATCAGGAGTGGTCAGTATGCAAATATTTTTTTTAAATTCTGAAAATATTTTACATCCCTTTTCTATATCGATGGATAAGTGAACACACGGGCATTGCCGACAAAGAGCGAGTGTTTGTGTCAAGAGTGCCGCAAGCCTGCGTTTGAGTGAAGGTCTCTGCCGTTAGATCGCCCCCTGGGGGCTGGCTGCAGTACAAGTCATAAAGCCCACCTCCTCCGTGTTAATGAAGGAGACTAAATAAAAAAGCCTAAATAAAAAAAATTATTACACTTGCAATAAAATGTCCGGAAAGATGGTTCTGGTCGTTTAAGGCACTGGTTATTGTGCTGAAATAGGTGCAGATCTTCATTTTTGTAAACAGTTTGTTTTTAGCAGTAATTTAATGCTGGGCGTGTCATCGTGATTGACAGCTGTGATTGACAGTTTCTCAAAGCAGTGCGTCTGAGCTTCGGCAGGAGACTGAAGTGTTATTATTCGATTTCTGTGTTATTTTACCATGACAAAATGAGTTCAGCAGTAAACTATAGTTTCTGACATACATGATCCTGGTGGAACACTGTTTATTCGCTAAGGTCAGGGCTTTTTTCGGGCTTTATTAGTTTGCTGATACACGCCTAACCACCCAGATAGCAAAATACACTCGGGACAGTTCCGGCTAGATTCTCGCCTGCCGGAGACTTACCCCTCAGAGCTCAGACTGACTACCTCTGCTGGACCTACTCCCGATGCCTGGACGCACTGCCCGATTCCAGCCCGAGTCAATCGAGCCAGATGCGGCGGCCGAGCGAGTCGGCGCTGCCGCATGCGAGCCGGAATCAGCCCGCGACGCCGCGAGTAGGTTATGCGCTGCGGCCCGGAGCTGACGCGATTGAATATATAAAACCTTCATATTTGTTAACGTTATTACATCCATTTGTGTTGATATGACAGCAACCGCATGCTGAGAAGTTTGGGGGGCGTGGTTGATTTTACATAAAGCGTTTGGTTGGAAGCTTGACTCCGCTCATTTTCGCGGCTCCTCTGGCTCCATCGGACAGTCCTTCTGCGCATGTCAAGGCTCCAATTTCAGCAGTCTTTTGCGACAGTTTGTGCCCGTCAAGCAGGCGTTTTGCCCTGAAGGTGTTCAATGGGAAAAGGGGCTGTCGCGTTGTCCATATTTTTTACAGTCATTGGTTTGTGTGCATGGAAATGTTTTATCCTCTCTCCCTGTTAAATTTTATCTAATCTGTGTCCTGAAACACACCCCCTCTCATGCTTTAACTTCTACTAAAAGATAGAGCGATTTGTTTGTGAATGAATCCATGTTATGAATGACTTGTTCACTTAGCCGACAATAATACAAGTTTGTAGCACCGCAGCGTCTTGTTGTCATATTTCATTTACATTGTCTGCTTATTTTATTCAACAAAATTAAAAGCCTAGTATTTAGTGCAAGTTGGTGCTACTTTGCGATCAGTGCAGTAAGAAACTGTATAGTATCATCGATATTTGTTTAGCACAAAGGATCATAACATACGAAATCGTAACAATGAAATATAACCTATGAAATGTAATGCTTTTGTGCTTTGTTTTCTTTGTTTGCTCGTTACTACACCTGTACACAGCACAAAAGTCCAGCATCTTCACATTGGCTTTAGTCTTGACTAAAGGGCTGTTGAATGACATTTGTCCTTATTGACGAATGACCAGGGTCTATATGCAATATCTAGTGTATATATCTATGGTTGAGGGCATGAAGTGTCCAGCGCTCCACACTACATTTTAATGGTTGATTAAGTGCATCATCCGGGTAATTAAAGTACACTTATTATTTTTTGAGTTTTTAGTGTAAACGCTTTTTTTATACTACAAAGAATAGTGCATAAGTATACAATTTGGGACGCACCTATGGAATCCAAATTATGGATAATATTTTTTTCATTGTCTTTTAGTATAACATATATTTTGTAAAAAATCAGTCATCACATCATTCTGCCATCAAAAAAATAAAAAATAAAAATTAAAGCTGTATAATACACTTAACATTCTTACATGAAATCTCAGTGATAAACATTCATTCATTCATTTTTCTTCGGTTTAGTCCCTTTATCTATCAGGGGTCACCACAGGGGAATGAACAACCAGCTTATCCAGCATATGTTTTACACAGGATGTCCTTCCAGCTGCAACCCAGTACTGGGAAACACCCATACAATGTCACATTCGCACACATACACTACAGCCCAATTTATTTTTATTTTACCCATTTCACCTATATCAGTCTTTGGACTTTGGGGGAAACCGAAGCAACCGGAGGAAACCCATGAGAACACGAGGAGAACACACAAACTCCACACAAAAATGGCAACTGATCCAGCTGGGACTCGAATCAGTGACCTTCTTGCTGTGAGGTGACAGTGCTAATTGCTAAGCCACCATGCCACCCACACTTAACATTCTTTTATGAAATCACAGAGAAACAACCATTATTAAATCGATTTCTGCTAGACAAAGTAGATTTAGAGCAATTTCATTTAGATATACCTCACAATAAAAAAGACTAATAAAACCTATATGTCATGCCAGCTCCAAAACATGATTTTTTCTGTAATGGCGCTCTACTGTAGGTTAGGTAATTGAGCAGAACGCTTGCATGAAAAAAGAAATCTGTTTAAGATGTAGAAAACGTCCCGTTCAAAGCCTACTCTATTCCGGAGTGCATGAAAAGCCACTGGTATATATCAGCTCTTATGAGGCCATATCTGTCTTTTACATTGTTCCTCTGGCACAGACGCCCTTTTCCAAGCTTTTATCATTCCCTAGTGGTGCAGCACCCACACCGTGGCCGACTCCAGACAGAGTGTTAAACACTTCCAGGCTCATTGACGAACTGGCCCACCATCGCTGAGTGTGTGTATGTGTGTGTGTGCGCGTGTACATGTGTATGTGTTTGCCAGGATGGCTCCATTAGACCATTTTGAGTCTATTGCACATATAAAGGCTTTCCACACAAGTTGATTTATTGCATCCTTTTGTATGTGGTGCTGTGAGATGATTGATAAAAGCAAGCGAATGAGAGTCGCAGATGTGTGAAGCATTGAGAAGAAAAGAAAGAGAGAAGTGAGTAGAAAGGAGGAGAGAGCCGTGTTGCAGGAAGCATTATAGTGCTACTTTGGTCGTCATAAATTCTAGCTGTCAGAGACAGTCGGCAGAAAAATGGGCCTGTTTTATTTACTGAAGTCAGCCGTGCACACAGTTTGTCATTGCTCTATGAGGTTCACAAAAGTCATAGTTTTGATAAGGAGAATTAATGAAAAGTCTTGTAGAACGCTCTGAGCCAATCAGGATAAAGCTGTAGGAATAATAAATTAGGTGGTTATGAGATCACAAAAGCTTGTAGTTGTGAAAAGTCTCTTCAGAAGTCTGGTTAAACTGTCACTTGGGTTTCTGTAGTGTGTATTTTTTATTTTAATTGTTCTAATATATTCAACAGATAAAATCGAGATTTCATTCAAAACAGTTTTTTTAAGATCTGCATGAGTGATTTCACAAATTTAGATTTTATTTCTGTCAACTTTGAACCAGAGTTTATGATTAACTCAAAGCAAGTTTTTATGCCAATGAAACACAAAACAAATCTCTTCTTAAGCCCCAAAGGTTTATTCAGATTAGATTGTGCACTTACCCTGGAAAAAACTAAACCAATAGGCTTAGGTTATGTCTGTTAAGCCTTAAAAACTGACAAAAAAAAAATCGTAAATGTGTTGAATTGGTTTTTAACTACAGCGGTTTGAACTGTTGTTCTGCCGAATGACTAAAAAGTTATCAGTATGATTTTGAAAACTGTATATTTCTAACTATCCTTTTGCAATCTTATACCAAAAACGTAAATAAGGGCAGTTTTGATAGCCTAATGTGAGAGAGTGTGGCTATTATGTGATTGTATTGTATTGGAATACGGAGCAATTAATTGTTAAGATAAATCCAAAGTAAATTTCAATTACTTGAAAATGAAATGATTTAATGACAATAATTCTCTACTACTGAATTAGTTACAAATAACTGTATAAAATGATAAAATATGAAGTTATAAAACATGATATTAATTTTGTGTTAAATAGACATCTAATAGACATTTATATGTAGACAGCTTGGCTAAAACAAGGCTAAATGTGGGCTGTCAGTGGAAATCTGAAAGACACCTAAAAATAGCCCAAAACTAGACTAGTCGTCAAGTAGACAGATTAGACAGACCTTAAATGTGTAGTCATTCATTTCTGTTTATTTGATGACTAGTTTTGGCCTGTTCTTAGACGTCTATTAGATTTTAACTGACAGACCAAATTTAGCCTTGTTTTAGCCAGGACGACAATGTTTAGATGTCTACTAGACATCTATTAGACATTTTTTAAAAACAAAAAAAGCTTACTGGGTGAGCTGAGAGAGAGACACTTGAACAGATAGTAGAGAAGATAAACTCCAGAGCAAGACAGGAGCAGAGCAGGAAGAGCCCAGAGCAAAGTTTACCACCTATTTTGTATCTTTCTTGACCATATGCAAAGCCCGAATACAGAGACATACAAACTGACCAATCAATATGTGACCACATCGTAAAACCCCCAAAGTCCACACACTAGTCTCTGATCTTATCAGTATCTGCCTTTGTAATTTGTATGAACCTTCTTGCTGAAAAAGACATGCTTTGCCATATAAACAAATGCATATGGTAATTTGCATTCCTACAGTGTTCACCAAACCTTTTTTAATGGAAGCATAAATAATTAAGAAGGCAACAGCCGGTGGTCAGTTTGTGTGAAAATGGACCTTTCTTTCACACTTTGATCCAAATAAATCTTAGCATTGCTATCATAGAATATAACCATGTCATACAGCTCACAACATTGTTGTATAAGAAGTTAAAAGCTGCACACTGCATCAGTTAGTGTTCAAGGAGTTGTTGGCAAGCAAATAACAAGCCAGAAGCATTTTGATTGCAGCAATAAAGATTTAATCATAGACTCTTAAGTATTTGCTTACTTAAATTCAAACAGTCACATTTTTGGCAGCGTACATCTCCAAATCTTCAGATCATTGAGTAGAACTCCAGAAAAGTGAATAAATCATTTCTTTAAGCCCTTTATTTTGACTGAACCAAATTAAACTGATTCATTTTTGATTGAACAATTGTGTCAAAAAAAGTTAAACAAATCACTTCATTGTTCTTCATTTGACTTTAGATTGTGTCTTCATTGTAATGAAAGAAAAGTAATGAAACACTTTTACTTGTCTGCAGATGTGAATGAGTGTGAGCTTCTCGGTAATGTGTGTGGTGAAGCCACCTGTGAGAACCGTGAAGGCACCTTCCTGTGTTTGTGTCCTGATGACCTGCAAGAGTTTGACCCAATGCTTGGCAAATGCATCTCTACACCTCCAGGTAATGTCGCACTCGACTGTAAACCACCACAACACGATTGACCAGTTTGTGATCTAAAAGAAACCCAAATGCTTCAAGCAAGCCTGTTTCCTTTAACCCAAACCTACAAGGCTACCATTGTGCCACAGATTACCTTTTATCTGGACAGGTGACCCTTGTCGTCCTCCTACGGAATTTCATTGTGTACCTGAAACGATTCTGAAGCTCTTCACGTTTTAATCTCAGCCATGGAGATCCTCTAGTGCAACAGGACATTAACTTCCTATCATCAGAGTCCAGCTCTGAGTAGAACAGAGGGAGGCAAGGCGTGATGAATGGGGGTTGTAAACGATCTGGCAGGAGAGAAATGAGATTCAGTCTGAGGATTACAGAGGGACCAAAGCATCACGGGCCCTAAAGCACGTAAGAGCCAAAAGAAGCTCCCACACTAAGATAAAAAGACCAGCGAGATATACAAGGAAGCCTATCAGAATGACATATCGCAGACAATTATTATAGATTACACCCTGTTTATGTTAGATGTCTTAGCTACTATGTTTTTACATAAAATATTATGTAATTTTTCTGGTCTTAGCTTCTATATTGCAAAAATGTTTTAAAGCTATTGCAGTTTGGGTTGAGTTAAGTGGTATGGTTCAAATGTTTAAGTAGTCTGGGTAGGTTTAAAGAAGGGTTAAGGGTTGACTTGATTTATGGAGCAAATATGGCTTTAATGGTTGGTTAAGGTGAGGGAGAAGAGTGGTTTAATGGTTGGTTTAAAGGAGAGTTAGGTTTGTGACATCTTTAGTGGTACAAATATGGTTTTATGGGTAACTTAAGGTCAGGTTTTGTGGTTTGGTTATACATTTTAGTGTCAGTAAGAGACAGGTTTAGTTGTACAGTATGTGTATGGATTTAGTGTCGATTGAGGTTAGTAACAGGTTTAGTAGTACAATATGTGTATAGCTTTTAGTGTAGGTTACGGTTAGTGACGTTAAGTACACAAAGTAGCTTGTGTATAGTTTTTAGAGTATGCTAAGGTTAGGGTACAGGTTAATGGTATTGGTTTAACGTTGGTTTAATTTTTATCTTAGTTATACATGTATGTGTAAGTTAAAGGCTAACACTAATTTTACATCAGCACTACACCAACATTCTACCACTACTGTCCTGTCTGCCAGACTTGCTGGAATATTGAAATTCTGTTTTCCTTTATCTATGTTAAGTGGCTTTGACACAATTTACATTGTAAAAAAGTGCTATAGAAAAAAGATGAATTGCATGTAATAGTGCATTTTTGTTGTTAAAATGTAATTTTAGAATGAATTCCTCATACAGACTTATGTTTTTTTACATTTCATAAAATATCCATCCATGCTTTACAGCCTAAACATATTATACATGACCATTCATGCTCATTCGGAATGCACACATATTGCAGCTTACATACTTGCCATCTTCTGCTTGTGTATTGTTCTTATGAGAGGAGATCAAAGAATCAAGGAACGATACTCAAAAGTCGAATCAGAGTTTTTAATTAAAGATAGCTGCACCTCAGTTTCAGAAGTTTGTGTTTCAGTCCATCTACACTGAAAGGAAACACCATCATTTCCAAACTAAAACATGCTCTTTAGCTATTTCAAAATGCTCAATTTCTGTAGACCCAAGATGTAAGAGTAGTGTGTATGGCAGGTGTAAACCTGACTTATTGTGTGCGCTTTAATACAGAAAACTCATTTGTGTGAACAGCTCCTAAATGGTTGGTTAAAGTTAGAAAGAGATTTAATGGTATGGGCAGGTTTTAGGGTTGGTTAGGTGATCAAGTTAGTTGAACAAGTTGAGTTTAAGCAAGGATTGGTAAAAGTTAAGGACAAGTTTAGTAGAATTTGCTAAGTAAAAGTGAAATACTATGAAAGCAAGTCTAGTATGTGTTTTATTCATCTGTTAAACAAGTGGAACAGAGAGGAGAACAGGTTTGAAAACAGGGTCAAATTTAAGGACTGGGATTTGCCATCTAGTGCTACATTTAAAAAGACATGGTAAAACTGCCAAAAATAAATTTAAGCACAATGCAGTTTGGAATATATATAGTGTGAGTGGCTACATACCAGCTGTGCTTGGAAGATCAAGTAACAGGAAGCGTCTCCTTAGATCTTAGCCAGCTGTTTTGGTTAAGGACTTTTGTTCAAATCCACCCTCCTAATCCTTCTTCCCCATAAAACCGCAATGTCTCCTGAGTTCAAATATTATTTTTTTGTTATTTTTACTAGAAGTGCCCTGGTATCTCTTACCAGAGCTGTAAATCTTGCTTTTTACATGTAAGGACGACAGTAGGACACTGTAAAGCTAGAATTGCAATAGTTTGGAATATGAATTATCTGGAAATCATAAAAAACTCTGTGTCTGAAAATCCAAGGCTGAACTGTAAAACTGCTCTCTGGTGACGTGCACAGTTTCTACTGTGTTCTTGACCTTGGTTCTTTGGGTATTCTTCATTTCATCATTGCAGTGAAATATATATTTATTTTCTTTCTAAATTGTTTATGTTAATTCTGTCTTATGTTTTTAGATTGTTTTGTCACACAAAACATAATTGAAAATGTATGTATGAATATTTTAAATTGAAAAAAAAAAAAAAATTGTGTCGCTCGATTTGTTGTCTTGTTTCCCGTAGTCACAACGGTTGAGAGGAAAGAGTGTTACTTCAACCTGAATGATGAAAACCTTTGTGATAAGGTTCTGGCCAGCAGCATGACTAAAGAGGAGTGCTGCTGTACACTGGGAGCAGGATGGGGAGACAACTGTGAGGTCCATCCCTGCCCCATACCGGGAACAGGTACTGAGCTACACAAATCACAACATGACAGTCTAATGAAGTAGAGCACAGACAACTGTAGGAACACTTGTGTAGATAAGACGCTCTCTGAGTTGAACCTGAGGTCAACAAACCATTATTTTGACATGATTCTTTTCAGCGAATAAGTTAGTATTAGTTATAAGTTATATGTATAAGTTGATAGTAGAACATACTTTTTAGTTTTTACCTCTTAAATACCTTTTGAAATAATGTAATGAGGAGAACTTGAAAAATACCAAATTGAAGTAAATAAACTCAAAGTAGGAACTGTAAGAACACTTATGCACCTATATTTATTCACATTGTTCACTTGGTTAGTTTAGTTTAGTTTAGTTTAGTTTATTTGTTTACAGGGTCAATGCACATTAATAAACATTACTGTAAAATGTGCCAGAATTAGCCAAGAATGGCTATTTTTCATCCGTAGACCCTTTACAGAATGTTAAAAAGTCACACCTAAAATAGAAGCACAACATTAAACATTAAATACACTTTCATAAGAAATACAGTTAAAAAAGTAAAGAAAAGAAAAAAAAGAAAACAAAAAAAGAACAGACTGATGGGAGCAGAGGACAAAAAGCCAAAGACAACAGTACAAATGTGTCAAGAATACAGTACTAATGCTGACAATGCTGATTTGTCAATAACCAATTTCTAACGTGAGACTGAAAAGAACGAAAAGTGCATGATCTTCTAATTGTTGGTGGGATGGAGTTCCATTCCCTAGCAGCTCTCACTGAAAATACAGATTGACTGAATTTGCTTTTTTTGAGAGGAATAATGCAGTCTCCTCTGTCACCTCCTCTAGTAGTTCGGTGAGCAGTCGTTCTAATATTTATAAACTGATTTAATGGTGAAGTCGGGTTATGTAAAGTCTTAAACATTAAACAGATATGTACATATGTAATTAAATTTTCCCAACTAAGCAGGTTGTATTTCTTTAATATTAAACAATGGTGATATTGAACTGATTTCTTATCAAGGGTTTTTATGGATTGTTTGTATAAAGATTTAAGTGGCTTCAGGGTGGTGATGCTGGCTTGGGACCAAGTGGTTAAACAATAAGTGATGTGAGAAATGATCATGGAGTGATAATAGATTAGAGCAGCCTCACATGACATCTGATCACGAATAAATCTAAAATTTGCTAAACTGAATCTGACCCGGTTACAAACCTTTTTAACCTGAGACTGAAATGATAGTTTTGAATCTATTAAAACTCCAAGGTACTTGTACTCAGATACAACTTGTAATCTTTCCCCTGATACAAATACATCTGGTACTACACTTAGCCTACCATTCTTAGAAAAAAACATACACACGGTTTTAGAGATGTTCAACTGTAAACAGCATTGATCTAACCAGGCTAAAAGATGTACCAGTGATTCTGTGAGTCTGTCTGCAACTTGTAACACACTACTACCATGAATAAACATAACAGTGTCATCCGCATACATTTGTATGTTATTGTTAGGACACATAGATGGGAGATCATTGATATATAAAGTAAAAAGTAAAGGGCCCAAAATAGATCCTTGTGGAACACCTGTGGATATACCTAGAGGGGCAGATTTGTAATTTTGTATATTAACACACTGTGTGCGACCAGACAAGTAAGATTCTATCCATTTTAAAGTTTGTGGTGAGAAGTTAAAACCAACTAATTTGGACATGAGAATTCTATGATTTACAGTGTCAAAAGCCTTCCTAAAATCAAGAAACACAGCCCCAACGATACCCCCCTTATCTAATAAAGACTTTACTTTTTCAGTAAAGTGGCAATTTGCCATCTCACTTGAGTAGTTTGCTCTGAAGCCAAACTGCAATGGATGTAAAGCAAAAGAACTATTATTTAAGTAATTTGTAATTTGTGTGGCTATCAGTTTTTCTGCAATCTTTGAAACTATAGGTAAAATACTGATAGGTCTGTAATTACTTGAAGAGTGTGGATCGCCACTTTTAAATATAGGCACAATGACAGATGATTTCCAAGCACTGGGGAACATCCCCTGAGAAATGGACAGATTAATAATTTTGGTGATCGGCTTTACTAAAGACTCACTAATGTTTTTTAAAAGTATCACATCCATCCCAAATATATCTTTTGCTCTGGATGATTTAAGAGATGTAATTGCTCTGTTGACGTCTGATTCGGAAACTAACCCTAGAGAAAAAGCTTGTTCTACTGTATTTACTTGAGTAATTATGAACAAATGAAATGAAAAATATTTTGAGTTGATTCTTGGGAGTAAATCTTGGGAGTTGATTCTTGGGAGTAAATCAGTTGATCTGATTCTAATTGGATGAACTATTTCTTTTAATGTGGAAAGACAGCATAATTTTAATTAGCATATTGTAAAAGAATATTTCAAATGCAAAAACACTTTTGCACAGATATTTAGAAATCATGGACCATTAAACTTGAATATAGTGAAAAATCCTTACCCTATTATAATTATTTGAATTTTATCCACTGAGCTGGTTCATTTGATGTAGATTATTATGTTAACTTGAATTGATAAGCCAGAAAGAAAGAAATTAACATTTTATTTAGGAAATTAAAAGTATGGAAAAGTAATAAAAGACACAGAGATATTTTAAACACTTACTCTAATATACAAATGTCACAAAATCATAAGCCAACATTTTTCACCTTTATACCCAAGAGAGCATGATGTGCATGCGTGTCGTGCATTATGCATCTGTCTCTGGTTATTGCTTAAACTTAGACAGAAGTTGAAGTCAGAATTGTTAGCCCCCCTTTGAATGTTTTTTTTCTTTTTAAATATTTCCCAAATGATGTTTAACAGAGCAAGAAATTTTTCACAGTATCTCTGAACATATTTCTTTTTCTGGAGAAAGACTTCTTTGTTTTATTTCGGCTAGAATAAAAGCAGTTTTTATTTTTTAAAAATCCTTTTCATGTAAAAATTATTAGCCCCTTTAAGCTATATTTTTTTCGATAGTCGACAGAACAAACCATCATCATACAAAATCTTGCCTTGTTACCCTGACTTACCTAGTTTACCTAATTAACCTAGTTAAGCCTTTAAATGTCACTTTTAAGAAATGTCTTAAAAAATATCTAGTCAAATATTATTTACTGTCATCATGGCAAAGATCAAATAAATCAGTTATTAGAAATGAGCTATTCAAACTATTATGTTTAGAAATGTATTGAATAAGCTTTCTCACATTTAATAAAAGTCTATCTTGCCCTTACAAATAGTAGTCAACATAATAAAAAAATTATTAAAAAAACATTTTCTGCCTTAACTACTGACACTTTTCTTTACAGATCAGTTCTCACAGATGTGTCCAGCAGGCCGGGGTTACCTGATTTCTGGAGATCCTATGAGTACTACCTCCAGCTTAGCAGAAAACACCAAAGGTATTATTAGTGTTTATGTCATTTAAAAGGATTTAAATGTCAAAGGTACACAAATATGGTTCAGAGTATGGGTTCAGTAAATGATGCTTTCTGTTTTGGAGAACTCTCGCTCAAGGCTTTAACTTTGATTGTTGATGTGCTTTATACTTTTACCCTATTTACTCCATATTTTGTCTGGGCAAAAATGCCCTGTTGATACCAAAAGTGACAGTAGAATGGAGAGACTATTTCAGCTGATAGAAATGTGCCAATAATTCAAATTTCTTTGAAAAAGCAGGTCTGAATACACAACCCGTTGGATGGTAGAACGAGAATGAGCTTTAGCAGACGAAGAAAACCATCAATGTCTCTCCTGTCAGCTGAATTAGACATCTGAATATTGGATTGCATTTTCTGATGAGTCTCACATTTTTTGCTGGAACATTTGGATGGTAGCATCTGTATAATGGTGCACAGCAAATTTTAGATAGTAGATTTAACTACCTTGGAGTTAAAATTAACACTCCCTCAGAGTTTATATGGGAACCACTATAAGTGTTAAAAATAACACTTTTGAAAGTGTTAACATTGTCAACACCAAGAGAGTGTTAATTAGCAAACTCTTATTGTGTAAAATATCTGTTAAATTTCCGAAAAAATACCAGCAGCTGTGGTTGCCAGAACCTTTTTGTGAAAAACATGAAAGTTTTATATAACTGTATAAATTTACAAAATATAACCATATTTCATGAACTAATACATTGTTCATTTTACAAAATCACAGCTTAGTGCAAAAAAATGTAAAGTCTTTAGATGCAATAATGTTTTCATGTTTGATTGCAATTAGCAAACAGATTTTGACAGCATTAGTAACTACACAGTTACCTTTAAACAAAAGAAGATGCAGCATAACATCAAATTTTCCCAGTTCATCTTAGACTTGAACAGAGACGCTATTATCCTCCACAATGGTGACACAAAAACCGTTTTGCTGTTTTTCTTTCTTTTTTTTCATTTTTAGATTTTACGGAAAAATACCAGCAGCAGTGGTTGCCAGTAATCTGCTGTTTTTCACATTCATAAATTCAGTTTACAGAATATTTCTGTTAAAAACACATTCAACAGTCTGTATTTTTTATCGATCTCACACTGCAAATTTTAGATTTGGTAGATTTAACTACCTTAGAGTTAAAATTAACACTCCCTCAGTGTTTATATGGGAACCACTATAAGTGTTAAAATAACATTTTTGAAAGTGTTAAAATTTTTAACACCCAGAGTGTTAATTAGCAAACTCTTATTGTGTAAAATATCTGTTAAATGTATGTCAAAATACTGGGAGCAGTGGTTGCCAGTAATCTGCTGTTTTCAACATTTTAGATTCGTAAATTCAGTTTCCAGAATATTTCTGTTAAAAACAAATCCCATTGACTGTATTTTTCATTCGAACACACGTAAGCCTTAAATTCCAGAGCAAAATCCTAACTAGTGTCCTCACTACAGAGGGCTGAACACTCAGACAGTGATGAAGTTAATTAGACAATTAAGTGTCTAACTAAAAGAGGATTGAGAATTGTTGATGAACAACTGTTAACAAGCAGAATCACTGAAGGACAGAAAAACACAAGCCAAAACCAAAGATGAAATCAACTGAGAAAAAAAAACCTCTAAATAAAATAATAATCCATAAAAATAAAACAAATTACCCAATAAAAAATGTTATTTTTCAACATCTTTAAAAAAAACTCATCAAATTAAACAACTTATCATGGAGCTTCACCTATTACTGACCAGTGACTTTATTTCTGTCATGTGAACAAAAACTCAATGAAATTTCTGTTGTTCATTTGAAGTCACCATGATAGAGGACAGAGTCTGCTTTAGTCAGCCTCTTCAACTTCTTACTATAAATGTCTTATATTTTGGCTGCTATGGATAGTGTTAATTACACTATTTAAATATATAGCATGGAAAGCTGAAAGAAAATTAAACTGTCAGTCTGAAGAGATTATTAATGATAACATAGCCATCCTTTCCTGCTTGTTTTTTAATTCAATATCATATTAGTTATGTGTGAGAAATAAATAATATACATAAATGAAACCACTGAAGCTCCAATAAAATAAAACAATATTTACAATGAGAATGTTTGATCTATGGCAGAACTAAAAAACACACAGACATCAACAATTAGTCTTTGAATCTCAATGATGGTGACAAACAAAAAAATAAAACACTACTGAAATATCACCTCCCAAAAACAACACAAAATAAAAGAAAAGAGATTGTAAGAACATAAAGCTGCATAATTTATTCATGCTGCAATGCATGCTGGGAGCTTTGTACTATGCTGGCACCCAGCATGCATTGCGGCATGAACTATGCAGCTTTTTTTTTTTTTTAGCAACCACGGTTGAGGTTCATGTCCTGATTCTTGATGCCTGTGTGTCATAAAGAGCAAGCTGGAGCTTGACTGTTTAGTGCATGACACTCTAATTATTAATTGCATCCTAATTGTTTGTTGAATTTTCTATGAAGAGCAGCAGACTGCCAGTAGTATTGTCCTATGCAGCTTTAATTCAACTATATTTGCATGTCTTTATGAATCAACTTAATAAACACCTGAAATTAAATCTATAACAACTAAGCATTAACAGTATAGTTTCTCTTGACCTTTCTTGCTATAGCTAATGAGTTTTAGAAACACAGCTATAGCAGTCAGAGAAACATTAGGATATAAGAGTAAAGCTT